TACATACCTGTGCTTTAGACTTCCCAACATGCTTCTTCTGGAACAGGAACTGACGGTTGAGATTGCTGACATCGATTGTGTCCAAGTCAATCTGCAGAAACCAACAGGGTTGTATGTCACTCATTAATACATGCAATGTGATATTTATGAGAGCAAACTGCAATCAACTGATCAGAAGAGCACCGTCACTGCTTTGCAAAAAAAAAAAAGGTCTTTGGTTATCTTCTAGTTGTATCTTTTTTTAATCACTCACTCAGATGTACTTGCAGAAGCTCCTGTGTTTATATTGCTGTCCTTTACTGTGATCTACACAATTGATTGTTTACATATTGATCATATAGTTCCAGAGAGTTCCCTCCAAAATGCTGTCTCAAAGAGCCTCATGGTATTCTTTATGACTGAGGATTGTAAAAAAAAAAAAAAAAAAAAACTTCTTCCTTTACAAAGCAAAGGTCAAACACCTTCGGTCATCTCATAATTTTCATCTATCTCTACAGCTCCCACACTACCACAGATCTCTTCTCTAATTTAACTACAGTACACAATCAAACATCTACTTTACCACAGATGTTCTAAATGTACGCGGCGATTTTGGCAAAAACTAGTCTCAGGAACTATCATGCACATTTTAAATGAATGAATGAACCACAGACTGCTCACCAGCTACTGTACACAGTTACTACAGCTAGTCTTTCATTCTCATTTGAGAGCTTAAGGTCTTACTGACTGATGTTTAAGACTGTATTTATTAATTCCATTTGTCTCTTGGTTGGCTTTAGGTGTGTTATGAACGCTTCTTGATCTCAGCTCTCTCTTGAAAACGCACCTCAATGACACCGTCTAATTACATAAGTTGTCAGAAGTCATCCATACAGTTTCTGCTTCATCAATATTAACCTGTTATTCAGTTTACCAGCACCCTTAAAGAGGACCTCTAGAAGACCTTTAACCCCGCTCTGGGATCCAGTGACAGTCACAAATACTCGGCATCTCAAAGTTGACCCCCGGAAACATAAACATCCACAACCAGTAAGTGTATAAGTGCAGCGAAACCAACGCAAATTTCGGAGTCGTCTAGCTTTACTGTACAGTGTGAAGATATTTGTAGAATAATAATATAACACAACTAAACAAATTGGTGTCCAATTGTATCTACGGTGGTAGTTAGCCAGCCAACCGGCTAGCTCTCCGTTACAATACGAAGAAGTTGTCCAGCTAACTTAGCAGCATTTAATGGCGCCAAATGCTCCGGCTACATTACTGCGGCAAGGTTCATATTTCTACTACTTCGTACTCGGGCCTGTCCCCTCAACTGTGCACTCGGGGACAAAGAGGGGATATCAAGAAACCACCACGAGAATTCGTATGTTTTACTTCTTTTAATGCCACGTCTCAGGAATTAGCCTGAGCCCGCAAACCTCCAGGCGTGCGGAGGAGGTGTGAGCACAAAGACCTAGCATGATAGCCAGCTAGCTAACAGACAGACAGAGAGAGAGAGAGAGACACACACACACACACACACACACACACACACACACACACACACACACACACACACACACACACACACACACACACACACACACACACACACAAACGTAAGTGTGACGGACCACTTCGATGTTTTTGAAGCCGGTGAGGACGAGGTTCTTCAGCAGCTCGCAGCCGATCCCTCCCGCTCCCACCACCAGCACCTTGCAGGTGGAAAGGGAGTCAGCCAGTTCTTTTCGGAGAGAACCCACCAGTTGGACCATGATGATCGGCTAGAGACAAGAACCACAGCCTGTAGCACCGGAGGCTAGCGGCTAGCTTCTTCTTCTTCTTCTATAGAAACCGAATTCCCGCCCACTTCCGGGTTATTCAACTTCTTCTGTAGTATTCATTCTGAGGCGTTTGTTAACCCGGTTCATTTGTTGTGTAGCGCCCTCATGTGGGCGATTGGCAATTTGGTGGCTCAGTGTCGCTTCACAGTGAGAAGATAGGAGGTTCGATTCCCGGCTGGAACAGGACCTTGCGTCGTAATTCTCCAGTCAGTTCTTTACAAGTAATGATTGTTAAAAAAAATAAATAAAATAATATAATAATAGGATTAAACCTACTTCAGTGGAGTTTTCCGATTCATTAAGTAATAGTTCATGCTCTTTTATTTAAGCCAGTCCTTCTTTGTTTTCTCATTAAGATGTTCACAGCTACTTCATAAATTGTTTATTTTCTTGTTTTTGCATGGTTTTGATTCTGTCTCTTTCTCTACATACAATACACACTGAACATTAGTTGTGATCACCTTTTCCTGTCGCTGGCTTTCAATAATTCTGGTTTGAATGTGATTCAACTATTTATTTCAGGACCCACATGAACACATACATCTACTTAACATATCTTGATGCTATTATTCTGGAATGCCTCTTCAATAACATGAATAAAATATCTTTGAAGACTGGAATGAAATGATCTCAGGCTCCGGTGAAATGAAATAGTTCTCTAACTCAGTGCAGTGCCAGAAGCACCATGATGTCCCCACCAAGTACCCCCAGACAATTTAATGTTTCAGTTTAATCTTTCCTTCTTCCTTTTGGTAAGAATTAATGTGTGTTTAGGTAGACACAGCTGGTTAATTAATTTAATAATCCTATACCTGAAATAGAAATATTTAAAGGTAAAGTAGAAATCAATAAATAGTTTTATTTCCAAATCTTTGAAACATTTTTCCAAATACATATACATATATACAATAGTCTTTTTTCACTGAACTTACTTTTCAAATGTGGCCATCACAGATCATTACATTAATGTGTTAAATTTAACAGCATATGACACCAAACTGAGGCAGGAGCATCCACCCCTGCAGATCTGCCCCAAAGGAAGACACAGGGATAAAATGGATGGATTTAAGCCTTTTTACAAAAAATAAAAAATCTATTTATTTAGCCGCCATTTAAAGAAAGAACAATAGTGAAATTTAAACGCCTTGCCAAAAAAAACTTACTTATAGGTTGTTTGTAATGACAAACCGGCATGGCTGTAGGGGTAGTTTATGAACCCAGGAAGCCCAGGATCCTCTTGCTATGAAGTGACAGATCCGCTTAACTACCATGAGTATTTTAAATATACAAAACAAGAATATCTTTTCCCAACCTTTTATCAATAAGTGGGTTAATCAATGAATATCTGCCTCTCTCTGCCTATATCTGACATCACCAGTGCATGTCACACTACAATTCCAGAGAAAATTCTAAATATGTTTTCATACTATCTATTTAAAACTTTCATTATGCAGCAGGAATCTAAATATTATTATCCAATCCAATCCAACTTTATTTGTTAAGCACTTTAGCCCCTTCAGACCCGCCTTATGTTCCAAGGTTGTGAAAAATATAATAATGACTTTTTCCCATCCTTAATGCAACCAGAAATGAGAATCAATAAAAAAAATGTTTTTAATCAAAACCCTTTAATTGTTATTTTTCTTGTCCATTTCAATGGACATCGGGTATGACAACATCATACCTATTTTTTGTCTGTTAAATGTTGCAAAAAGTAAAAAAGAAGCCCCTGTCAAGTTACGTCCATTGTAATGGACACAGGGTCTGAAGGGGTTAAAAACAACTAAAGTTGACCAAAGTGCTGTACAGGAGAATAAATAAGACATCATAAATGTAAACAGTGATGGTGATGATGAAGACCACTGTGAGGAACATAGACAGTAGGAAGAAATGCTCTCACATTATCATGTTAAAAGTGGGTGGTGTGTGGGAGATTTGCGGCAGAAAGGTGTATGAGGCAATAACCATGTGTCCTACTTACAGTGGCCAAAAACATGTTCCATAAGTTAATGCTCTGTGGTAACCTCACATGTTTACTATGGGGTGTACCTGTGGCTGGGTACGCCACTTAGCTAAGGACAATAGGCAGGGTGGATCTGGAGGGGTGGCCTGAAAATGCCTTTCCACCCCAGTTTGGTGTGAATGTCATTTAGACTAGGTGATAAAGGTTAAATTCAGTGAAAAATACATACATTTTGAAGAATGTCTGAAGATTTGAAATGTATTCCTAACCTACCTTTAGATGTTTCTTTGTGCCACAAAAATGAAAAAATTATTTTCCCTAATTAGAATATATATATATATATATATATATATATATATATATATATATATTTGGGGGATTTTCCTAGCAAATATTGATATATTAGATTGTTTGCGATTAAATAATCATATATTTCTGCCGCCCCTGAGTCATAAAAGAGTTCTAAAGTGAACGGATTATGACGTGAGTTCACCTGCGGTTCATGAAGCCTGCAGCGATGTTGCTACTCTGTATCCATGGTAACACCAAGATGTGACGACGTTTTATCATGCTGCCTTCCGGTACTGTCTTCAGTTGTGAAACTTTTATTTAAAAATCCCCCAAATAACTACAACGCGTTGTCTGTGTCAGTAAGGAGTACAGTGGCAGTTTAAATGGTACACACAGAGCATGAATTCATGGTTGTAATAGGTAGGCTCCTACAAACATCAGTCTTACGCATTTTTCCACTTAAGTCTGGTGTTGCAGAGCAAAGTAAAGTCTGTACGTTCGTTAGTGAAACAAACTACCAAAAGTGCTACTCTGTGTTATAACAGTGTGATAACTTGGCCTATGTTAGTGTTTCGAATTATTATTATTTTCACGCAAGAGGTCTTAAAGAAGTGGAGTTTCCGTGGAACTTGAATGTCGCACCAGCTGTAGCGGAAAGTTCTCGCTGTCCGGAGACTCACAGCTGGACTCTGTGTGTGGAGAGAAGTGGAGGCACCACCACCACGACACCATGTAAGTTTACCATCGGTCTATGCCTGCGTCGTTCATTTAAAGCGAAGAATCATTATCTATTATAAAATATATATATTATATATATTATAAAAAGTTGTTTTATTTGGTCCTAGAAAGGTTCTCTTGTCAATACTCTGTGTCAATCATTTACACTCTGTAGTGTAAATAAATACGTGTGATTGGGAAGAATCAATAGGGCAATGTGTCACCTGTAGCCTACACGTTGTATTTGTCCCTGTGCTCGAGGCTGGCTGCATCCCTGTGCTCGCGCGAGTGTGCGCGAGTGGGCCGATGACAGTTTGATTAATCACCGCAAACCAGGTGATTCAGAGACCAAACGAGGCCAAACGTTAACGAAGCTACTCTGTTGGCCGTCAGTGAACAGTTTCAGACAGAAGGTCAGGTAACGTCAGGTAAGGTCTCCCTCCGCCTCCAGCTGCACACACACCGACACAGCGCTCTGTCCCTCGCCACAGCTGCTCGAGAGAAACATGGGGTCCGCAGGACAGCTCTGCTCGGTGCTGCTGCTGCTCTTCCTCCTGGGGCTTCATCACTCCTCAGGTTTCTGGATCGTCAACGTCGTCTTCCCGCCAAACGCCAAACCCAGAGCACCAAGCAACAGCACTCCACCGCTCATTATTGGTAAGTGTTGGCATTGTTGTGGTCCATTTAGTCTTTTTAGATTATTTAAAAATACTCTTATATGATAAAATATGTATTGAAGGGCCAGGGCTTGACTACCAGCTGGGCAAATCAGGCAACATGGTCCCTGAAAGCGCCATTTAAATACCTTCTGTTATTTCAGTTACGTACTCCATACTCTGTTATTATTTCATCTTTTTAAAATAAAATTATGAAACCTGTGGCCAAGTGGTATTCTATCTATCTATCTTCTATCTATCTATCTATCTATCTATCTATCTATCTATCTATCTATCTATCTAATTGAATTATCTGTCTGTCTCTGTATTGATGTCTAGGCTATCAGTGTGGTTGTACTCTGTACATTTGACCCTGCTCTACTGTTTGTTTGCTGCTTATCTAGGTCATAGTAAGGCATTTTAGGCTCAAAGGGCCAAAACCTGATTCAGTGGTCATGCTCTTCCCTGGCCCTCCACGCTCCAGCTGTAAGGGTTTTTCACTGTCTGGCCTCATAAAGTCCCCCAATTTAGCCCGTAACCAACCCAACTGCAGAATTGTCTCTCTCTTGATTTATGCCCCCAAGGCCCCTGTGGTAAAAGGGGTGACATGTGAAAAAACTCTTGCATATTTATTTCACCCAAAAATGGGCCAGTAGTGTTTGCACATTATGACCTAACTTCTGCAGCTTGGCTTCAGAGAGTAAGGATCTTAATGAAATTAACATTATCACAAAAGAAAGAGGTCAATACTGGCCCACCAACACCTCATACAACTACATAATCAGTCATTTTGAGTGAAGCTTTCTTTACTCCATCCACTCATGAAAAGCGGACAACTATTCAAGCCTTCGTCATCCTAGGGGGAAAAAATTCAGCTCCCAGAACTCTGCTGAGTAATGAAGTGGGTGTACCCAATGCAGACTGAAAATTAAGTAGCTATACTCCGTATACCTGCATATACCCTGCACTACACCACTGGTCAAGACCTCCCTCAATTCTCAATTCCCTCTTTACTTTCTTCATAATGATTCTTTATCTCATGTTATTACATTAGCTTTAATAGTAACAGTTAGTCCACACTAGCCCACTGATATTTGTCTGGATCTTTTATTTTCCATTGGGTTGTACTGAAATATAATTCTGCACAGTCTTAGAGATCGTCTTTGTCAGAAATAACAACATTAGTTTTAAAGTGTAGCTTGAAAAATACCCAAAGATGGAAACCCTATAGTATAAACTTTGACATAATGATGTTAGAACCCTAGAGGCTGCCAACACCATGAATTATGAGGGATGTTTTGCCCATTTGTTGTTGGTACCACTCATAAGCAGGTGTCACAGATTGTTACCATAGAAACAAGGCTCTTGGTTAAGAATTGGTGGGGGGTGGCTCCCCAGTAGCTCACCTTATTGAGCTTGCGACCCAGGTACTAAGGCTTAGTCCTTCCCTCAGCGACCTTGGTTCAGTTCAGTAAAAACATCTGCACGTCCTTCTTTATCTTCTCTACACAAAGGGGCAAACTTGAGTCCTATTCGTGGGTCCTTCTTTGCAGTCTTCATGCAACACATGCAACTGATGCGTCATTCAAGACAGTAGGTTTCGTAGTTCATTTTAAGATTACACTGCGGGGCATTTTCTCTTCCCACCGCTTTATTACTCATTGTTTGCAGTCAAAGGTCATTGTCCAGGTCAGGATACACGCTGTCTACTGTAGAGGAACTCCAAGTAGAGGACAGGCAACACAGTGTAGGGGTCGCTAGTCTACAGTACATTTTGTTCAAGGCCAAAAAAGTAAAGTTGTGGAGTAAGGCTGTATTTGTCAATATGATGTGGAAAGTGTAAAAGGTGGGCACACATCCACATTCTGAAAAGTTTCCAAATCTCTAAACATTTAGAAAACCTGCTGTTTAGTCAAAATAAACATTTTACTGCACACTTTATTTAAAGGTTGGTAATGTCACACATTCTGCAAGATATAGTGAAAAAAATAAAAATAAATCTTTAACAAACGTTTTCTGACTCTTTTCTGACCCCAGGTTGAGTTCTAACCTCATTCCTTCCTAACTGTGAAGCAATTTCCCTCCTACACAGGACAAAGTACAAATAAGACCTTACAAATACAGTATTTATAAAAGAGGATTACACAATAATAGTTCTTAATTTATTTTATTTTATTACTTTGCATTTGCCAATATTTTTATGTTAACAATACATAAAATCACATATCACCGTAATGTGATGCTCACAGTGAACAGAATTATAACCCAACTCTGCATGTCCCCTCAGCACCGCAGAGGTTTGTAGCTTCTTTCAGCTCATTGTTTTGGTTTCTGACAGCAAACTCCAGCTGCAGCAGGCAGTTTATATTAGCCAAAGAGGCCCAGTAAACACACAGGACACTACCTGCCCAGCCCCAAGCGGCAGATAGACAAAGTTAGCGAATAGCAGGTGAACATGGTGGAGCATTTAGTGGATAAAGAGCAGTTTTATATGTTTTTTACTTTTCTCAGGAGTTGGTGAAGATCAAGAGAGAGCTAAAAGGAGAGTGAATATCAAATGTTTAGAAACACCACTTATATAAATGCTAATGTTGCTCTGTGTCTGCTGGGTGTGTATGCGAGCGTTAGCTAATGCATTCACCATAACAGTATAACGGATTGTTGGTCTTCCCTCAAGTGAAAATCTAGTGAAGGTCCAGTATGTAACATTTAGGAAGCTCTATTGGTAGAAATGTAATATAATATTCATAGGTATTTTTTTATTGGTGTATAATCACCTGAACATAAGAATCATTATGTTTTTGTTACCTTAGAATGAGTTTTAAACCAAACACTTGCTCTAGAGTGGGGTGTTAACATTTTTCCTACATCTCGTGGCCACCGTAGTTTCTCCTTCGTGCTTGGAAACTAAATAAACTAAACTAAATCCTACACACTGGGCATTTTCACTCTGTGTTTCATATTTGTAACGTACTTGAGTCGTCACCAGTTATGACCAGTGACCTACAGCAGTGGTTCCCAACCTTTTCACCTGGTGACCACTTAAATAAGTCAGCTTATAACCCCTTATCACAACTTACATGTACAGTAACACAGGAGGAAAAACTGTCCAGGGAATTTTAATGTATAGCAAAACAATGAATATTACTGCCTCAAATTCCATTAAACATCCTGTGACCCCCTCAGTTTGATTCACTGATATGTGTGTGCGTGTGTGTGTCCAGTGCCAGGGAACTTGGGGAACCGTCTGGAAGCTAAGATAAACAAGCAGACGCTGGTCCACTGGATGTGCTACAAGAAAACTGAACACTGGTTCCCACTGTGGATTGACCTCAACATGTTCATGCCCATAGGTGTTGATTGCTGGATTGATAACATTAGGTAACACTGACACTTTTAATGTCCTCTGTCCTCTTTCTGTATCTGTATGTCTTACAGCCGTGTTTACATGTTCTCTTCCTGTTTGTGATCTCCTGTCAGAAACTATTCAAGTCACAGTAGAGAATGTTTTTGCCCAATTATAACACATAAATGTCTATGTGCGTGCCCCAGACTTGTTTACAACAAGACGACTCGGCGATCATCCAACTCACCAGGAGTGCAGGTGCGGGTGCCAGGATTTGGGCAGACGTATCCCATTGAGTTTCTTGACTATAACAAACTGGCGGGTGAGAGATTTATATCTGTGCTGGTGGATTATGTAATCTTTCCTTTAATTTCTTTGTTGGATAATACAGATATGTCAAAAATATGTTTATGTCATATGTCATAGATATGTTTTCATTAGTGTATAATCTCCTGAAAATAAGAATGGTTAGGTATTTTTGTTACCTTAAAATGAGCCCTCTATAGAGGGAGCGGGTGTTCTACAGAGGCTGCCATGTTGAACTGCCATGTCTCTACAGTAGCCCAGAACGGACAAACCAAACACTAACTCTCTCTGTCATGCTTTACACAAGCTTTGCATCCACCCTAGTTTCTCTACATGCTTGAAACAAAAGGGTGAGGCGAGGGAGTTGTAGTCACCTAATGCACTGCTAGATGCCACCATGTCCTACACACTGGTCCTTTAATTCCTACACTAGATTGACTAAATATCCTTAATCCACTCTGTAGCTCAGCTGCTTTGTAGCAAGGGTTGCTTTAGACTCTGACATCTGTATTGATTTAGTCTGCTGCTGTTTTTTTGCAGGTTATTTCTACACTATGGTGCAACACTTGGTCAACGTGGGCTACATCCGAAATGAGACAGTCCGAGGAGCTCCATACGATTGGAGATTAGCTCCGAGTAAGCAGCAAAACTACACATGCACCTTCACATGCACACTTTACACATTAAAAGGGCTTAGTACAGTCTAGCACACTGTCATATCACACACTTACTATGTGGAATTTTTATCTTGAGAGCATATGTAAATGGGAAGGTTTAGCACTGGATGTGTTGGCTTGGAAGTATAAAAAGTACATCAGCAGGCAAAATGAGCCTACAGACCAACTCAGCTTGTTCTTTTTAAGTTATAAGGTGCTGTGTAGTTGGTATTTGGGCTCTCTTTCCCCAATATGGTATTAATAATATGTATTAAAGTAAAAATATCAGCTGAGAAAACAAAAACAGTGTGTAACTCATAAAGGCCTCTTATATACAAACGTATTTAAAGCTCCACCAATCAATATTTGTTACATTAAAGCTGCATCAGTTAATTACTTTTTGCCACTTAATGGCAGCAGAGCAAGCTGTAAACACAACACTGACACACTTTATATAAAGTTATTACGAACATGTAAGCAATCAGTTGCTTATTTACACATCCAGCAAACCCAGAGCAACATTAGTGTTGTGATCTGTTATTTCAGCAGCTACTGGCTTGACCCTTGAGAGTGGAGTTTCTGGAAGCAACAAGAGCAAAGTGACACAAAGCAGTTGAACAACGTTCCAGGTTTTAACAAAGCACACTGAATTATATAGTCAAGATGAAACAACTTACATATAGCTTGAGATAAGAAAGAAATACATAAGATGTCTAGGTTGGTAACAAGGCATTCAGGGTTCAGGGTGTGATGAGAATGGAATGTGACAGGGACAGAAACATTTCCCAACAGTTGGCATTCATTTGGAGTCGTGTTTCTGGACACCTGATGAATATAAGCCTAATATTCACTGCTTCACAGCTAAAGTTAAAGCTAATGTCTGTCTGTCTTTTGGTGCCGGAAAGGTGGTGGGTTTATCAGAAAATGGCTGCCTGTTGCAACTAGAAACGAGGCTGATGGGAGCAGTGAGACTGAACCTAAACAGTAAAGTTGTGAGTTGTAAAACCACAACGATGAGCTGAAAGGAGAGTGAACATTAGACATTAAGACATTCTGGTGGCCACAAACACAAATAATACAAAATGTTGCAAATGTGGAGTTCCTCTGACCACATGTGGTCAAAAGAATTGAATACAGTTTTAAAGAACAAACCCAAACTCCATATCATTCTTTATACCACATTTCACACCCTCCTGTCATCCTCCCTCACACAGATGAGAACACAGAGTATTTCACAAAGCTGCAGGACCTGGTTGAGGAGATGTACGAGCAGTACCAGCAGCCTGTTTACCTGCTGGGACACAGCATGGGCGGCCACTACGTCCTCTACTTCCTCAACCATCGACCCCAGGCCTGGAAGGACAAGTACATCAAGGGCTTCATTTCCCTGGGAGCTCCATGGGGGGGTGCTGTTAAACCACTTAGAGTCCTGGCGTCAGGTAAGGGCACTTTGAGTACAGTACACGAGAAGAAGCCACTAAATGGATCTGTAGCTGGCACTCTCAATACAACAAAAGAAGTATTACTGTACATCTTTTATATTTGTTGTTATCTTTTTATTAAGGATCAGAAACTCCACAGGGCAGTGTTAGCTTTGTGGAGCAATGAAACAATCACGTGATTTATAGTATTTCATATTTGATCCATTTATTTTTGCTTTAACTTGCTGTTCACTGCAGGTGAAAATGACGGCATCCCAATGATTTCCAACATTAAGATCCGCGAGGAGCAGAGGATGACAACAACAAATCCCTGGATGGTGCCGTCTGAGGAAGTCTGGCCAAAGGACCACGTCTTTGTCTCCACACCAACTTTCAATTACACCAACCAGGACTACCAGCGCTTCTTCACAGACATCAATTATGAGGACGGCTGGTAACTAACACCTTTAATGTTATTACACAGCCTTGATTAACAAAAGCTGTGCCCATTACCCACCTCAGTTTTAGATATTCCTGAATCAACCTAACCGACTCGGAAATGTTTTGGAATTTGGATTTGGAAATGTTTACGATGTGCAGAACAGTGACTATATAGTGTTAGGGGTAATCTATGGTCAGTTTTACCTCTTAGGAAACAGGAAAACCTGGTCAATTATGTCAATTGCTGCTTTGGGAGCAGATAAGTGTGTAGTCTCTGCACCATGATAGACAGAACAGTGTTTCATTGTGGTAGCATCTGTGTAGACACATTGTGAGGAACAGCAGTTAATGATGGGACATTTTAAAGCCCCCATGTATTGAATTTTCCTGTGTACTAAGCAACTTAAAATCATTTTGATGGCTAACATTTTTATTTGTAGAAAAATCTGACAGTCTATAGGTTTTTATTTTATACTACCACTGGGATCTGCCATTGTCAAAAATGTTCAAATCGGACATACAGTATACAGCAGTAGGGGCTTTAAACCTGCACTAACAGATTTTGGTCATTTGGGGGCAGCAGACTCAAGCTGTTAACATAACCGTAACATTATTATTATAACCTTTTAAGTTGATATGGTGAACATGTTAGCAAATAGTTTCCTATTTACACATCAAGCAGATACAGGTGAAAGCCCAATATTCAGACTGCTCTTTAGCTCTTTTATTTCGTCTCCAGCAGCTCCTGAGGGAAATATCAGACTCTTTAGCTCAGGGGTGCCCAAACTGATTTCCTTGGAGGGCCAAAACTGAAACTTAATGGTGGGCTGTGCTCACTGTGTCTGCCTAATGGTGCTGGGCAGGTAGCGTACAGTCTTTTTAAAACTGTTTTCACTCAAAACAGCAAAAACACAGAGTGAACCAAAGTTGCAGGCTGCAAAAACCAAAACAATGTGCTTTAAGGGGAGATCTGACACTGATTTTACACATCAAAGTCTGTTAACAGGTTTTGCGGAGTACTAGTCCATATGTGAGAAAAGTTGTTTAAAACCTTTTGTGGGTCTAGAGGGAGCAATCTGATTGCCTTAAGTGATGCCATGTGAGTCAGTGTTGGTTGGCACTGCTAACTCCAAGCTGGAAAATGGAATAAAATCGGGGGCCTGGAGTCACATATCTCTGTAGCCTGATCCTCATCTCTGCTTGAGGCTACATTAACCTCTACTAGCATAACATACCCAAACACCAGACCCCAGACAGTTCGGTTTGGCAGCCATCCCTCCTCCACTCCAGTGCTCAACACGGGAGCCCCTAAGGGCTGTGTGCTCTGCCCCCCCAACTCTGTTGTAAAATTTGCAGAGGACACCACCAATCATCAGCTGGAATTCAAACAACAAGACTGAGACGTATATATCTTATATCAAAAGCAAAGAAAACTGCTCAAAGTCAGCAAGAGCAAGGAGCTGATTGTTGATTTTAGGAAAATAGAGGCAAAGACACACATCCCTGTTAACATTAGTGGAGCTGAGGTGGAGCAGGTGAATTGTTTTCGGTTCCTGAGAATTAACATCACAGAGAGCCTGGCATGGTCATCTCAAATCTCCACTCTGGTAAAGAAATCTCAGAAAAGACTGTACATGTGTTAAAGCTATGTGATGCTAAATCAGTGGAGTAGTCTTTTAAGGTCACTATAGTTCCATAGAGCTGAGGAGAACCCAGAGTTCATCCCTACAGACGACCTTTTTCACAAGTAGTCATGTGATCCATTGTTAATATAAAAATATTGTAACTGCTTTAACGTTTTGGTCCTTATATCGCTCCATTTCACAACCCCCTTTATGCTCTTGTTGGTTCCAGGCACATGTTGGAAGACACCAAGAACCTCACCAGTGCTCTCCACCCACCTGGCGTTGAGGTGTGGTGTATGTATGGCGTGGGGCTTCCTACTCCAGTAACATACATTTACGACGAGGAGTTTCCCAACGCGGACCCGGTGGACTTTGTTTACGCCGACGGGGATGACACAGTGGACAGCTTTAGCATGAGTTTGTGCAAACGTTGGGCGGACCAGCAGGAGCAGCCCGTCCACATTACAGAGTACCGAGGGCTGACCCACCTGGACATAGTGTTCCATGAAAAGGTGCTCAATGTAATCCAGCATATCCTGGAGGGCAATTCAGACACACCCAGAGAGGTTGACGTCCGATCTGGAACTGAATAGCAGACAACAGCATTTAAGAGTTTAATAAACCAAAAACACACAGTGCTGGATTTTTACATAGCCTATAGTCTGTTCTAGTGCCCCAAACAACACAACACATTCCACATGAAATAGCCCCCCCCAGCCCATAACCATGACCCCCTTATCTAAACTACTTGCTGATGACTTGCAGAATGGGTTTGACTCTGATTTGTTTATGTCGATTTGCAGAGTATTATGTTGTTGTGTATCTCTCATATTTGATGTTGCTCATGACAAGACTTAGTGGTTATCATGATACACATAATTATCACAATAATTACAGAAATAGTAATGTGGAGTTATTTTCAAATGATGGTTTATTCAGAGTTGTAGTCAGGCGTTTTATCATTCAGGCAACGTCAAATCCTGTGACATACATCTTTACAAAATACACAATGGTTGGTTTACTTTTGATGGATGATGAATTAATCATCACACTATATCACAGGCGTATTTGTAATATTCTGGGTAGATAGAGTGGGACTGTAATGAATAGAAGCCTATTTTATTGTGTGTGATGTCACTGTAATATTTCTGTTCTATCTAAAGATTTATATATTTTTAGATGTGTGTGTATAAAATCCTTATTAAAAATGACAGTTTGCTCACTCATATACAGTAGCGTATACAATGAATAGTGTGAAATGATAAGGATATTTCATACTGCCAAATGTGTTTGAATGTTTCCACTTGTAATAAAGTATCTGCTGCCACAAAAGCCACGCGTATCAAATGATTAGTTCAGATCTTATAAGGTTATATAGTGTCCGTGGTGTAGATCCAGTCCTCTCTTGTCCGTCCGACTACATCTGAGATCGATGACTTTTGACTCCACTGTTGAAGTTGTCGGGTGGGTTGCTCTGTGATCTGGACCTCGTGATCGTCACCTTCTTGATCACTGACCACCGTCAACGTTTACATTGCGGTAAATCCCATCACAGGACTTGAACAGCACACCGCAAGACCTCCTCTGCACATCTACACACACCGAGGAGGCGACCATGACCGGTGGGCTATGAGACACCAGGAGCCATGGCGGCTTGGCAACGGATAACCGCCTTCTCTTCGCTGCTCCACGTCGGTTTGTTGTTGTTGCTGTTGTCGGCTCGGAGCAGCGAGAGACCGTTGGGGAAATGTGTCGGCGACAAGCCTTGTTCCCCGCGACCTCCCGTAGTCCTCGGTAAGTGTTTTCTTCGGTGTTTCTAGTCTTGTTTACCTGACTGTCTTCTGGCGGACAGCTCATTGTGCAACTTACTCATCAACAGCTAGCGATGGCCAAGACAGGCCAAACTCCATTCAAAATTAATTCAATTTTATCTCTCTTTGCTTGTCACAAATGCTGTATAAAGCATACAGTAAGATTCAACATTTTTCAAATGAGTATATGGCCAGTCTTATATTCGGCTTAAACATATTCCTCCAATTTGTATATACGTCGGTTAAATTTCTACTTTTGTAAATGTTTGGCCTGTCGCTCCTATTATCTTCTTCCACCTAAACAACCAGCTGTTTGTCGTAGAGAGCGGTCTGCACCAGGTTGTATGTCTAATTTTATCAGAAGAAATATCATTTTGACTATTATATTGGCGCTGTATCGAAAGCACAGTCCCGTCGAATCCGAAATGTGTTTAGTCATCGGTTGTAGAGGATATAATGTCTCTTTCCAGGAAGACGTCTTCACATTGCTATATTTGCGAACGGAGTTTGGCAGGACAGTGTCGAAGAAATGAACTCCCGTATTGAGGATTATAAGTAAAAAAAAAACACACTTATTACCACACTAATGCTGACATGTATTTACGTGGTTTAGTAAACATTTAAACGTTGTGTTCAGTGAGTGTGTGTGTGTATGTTGTTTACAGTCAGCTGTCCTCTGATCACATGACTGAGTTGGAACACAATCTGACTCTCCAGCATTGCAGCCAATTAAAGTGCTCAGGATACCGAGGAGGTCTGATATGGACTCTCTTTAATCTCACAGTAACTGTGTAACGTTTATGTACATTTCTATTCATAATCCAAGTTAAAAGCTAACACACTGCCACACTCCCTCCACTCATTGAAGGGGTCTTGGGTTTAGAGGAATCTGTGTTTGTCCAGCTTACAACCACAGCCTCAGTCTGTGCCTATGCATGTGTGATAAGAGTCTGTGTAACTGCTTGACCCACAGTGACCTCCTGCTGTTTGCTTGTTCTTGTGGTGAAACAGTAGAATATTACAGTTTTAGAGAAGCCGGTGTTGGGCTGCTGTAATTTTGTGGTAAATTGACAGTGAGGCAACCAGAAGGGCCCGTTCGACCATTTCAATATTATAGAGTGGGATAAAATGCTAAACTAATAGCTGAAAAAGGCTAAACACAGTCCATTCAGTCATAGGGGGAGAAAAGGTTAATATTTATTCACTGTCAGAAAACAAAACTCCCCCTCTAGTCAAAAATCAGTTTTCTTGCATTTTCATAGATTTGGGATTTTTTTATTTATTTTTTTTATGATGTAAAAGGAGTAGAGCAGATTTAATGCAGAAATTATACCTTTTTTGTGGAAAAACTCATTATTGTTTCGAGCAGACTATTTGTATTCAGGCTTTGTGTCTTCATACGTTTCTGGAATAGATCTTTAAGCTGTGAGTGTTGCTGCATTGGCGCAATCAGAGAAACAACTACCCATATGGTAGTAGTGGTGAATATTCATCGTTGTCTATAGAAAAAACAAAATTTAAAAAGTAATTTAAATAAAGTTCCCGCTTGGACTGAATCATGTTGAACCAGTTTTTATTTTGACAGTATTTCAACAGATATTTACCCATCCATCAATTAGTTTCTGGCACATTTAAGCCCAAAGGATAGGAAAACATATTCTTAGACATATCTTTGTCTATATCCATCATATCTCTACCGCAATTCTGACATTAGAACCAACTATTGAAGAGTCTAAAAAATTTAAGTATAATGTTTAAATTTCAAAGTCTTTGAAAAAGAACAAAACAGCCCAGCGATGCTCAGAATTTCCACTGACTGTCTGGCTTTTTAAAATGTTTTAAAAAGTGTTTAGAACTGTAAAGTATGCATTGGGTTCATGGCATCCATCGGGACAGTTGGCCTCATACTATATACTATACGTGGCCTTGGACTGTGCAATGTTTTGTGTGTGTTGTTTGATCATACACAGAGGAGGAGGAATAGACCAAGGGCAAGTAAATAAAGCTTCCTGTCCCGTCTCATGTCAAGTTGAATTATTGATAACTGACAAATATACATACATTAGAAACGTGTCACAGTATGGAAGAAGAGTAAGAATGAGATAATCACTAATGAATATGCACATTAACAGTTATAATTAAAAACCTTTAATGTCATCCGGACGGTCTTACTATGTGACTCATTCCTAATGTTACCTGTTGCAGTTCCAGGGGATCTGGGAAACCAGTTGGAGGCGAAGCTCGATAAACCTAGTGTGGTTCACTACATCTGCTATAAGAAGACTGAGTCCTTCTTCACTCTGTGGCTGAACCTGGAGCTGCTGGTCCCTGTAGCCATAGACTGTTGGATTGACAACATAAGGTATGACGTGGGTCTTTCTGTTCGCATTCAGACATCAATAAAGTACTGTTTGTCTGATGAATTTATCCGACTCACCAAATGTATGTACGAGGTTTGCTGATGGCCCATTTTGAACATCATGTGATGATTAGTGTGGCATGTTTCTGTTGTGAAATTGATTAATATTTTGCCGTTGGTGTTTTTATGGGGAAGGCTTGATTTTTATTTTTTTTTTTTTGTGTGTGTGAAAACATGCTGTGGTGCAAATTCCTGGAAGTGCTGTCATAGAATAAGGGAGTAGGTAGATGGGTTCGACAGCCTGTTTGACTTTCTGCTAACAGTTATCACCCAGCACTGGATAAACTAACCTTTGAACCCTCTATTTATCAACAAGGTATGGAAGGAAACAAAGGGTGAGATAACATTCCTTTTAAACCTTTCCATCAGCACTCAACTAAAAACCACTCACATGTTAGATTATTCATTTAGACATGAGAACTGTGAGCTGCTGTATCTCTAAATGAGAGCTCTGCTGTGATGCAATTAAATAGAGAGCCATTTTGCAGTTATGTTGAATAATTGCCCTCTTCCCTGTTCTTAAGATGTGGGTTCACTAATGCAGACTTCCTCTGCAGTTAGAGGATTGATTTGTTCATCGTGGACTAAATTTATCTTGACTGACAGTGGGCTCTTATTTTGAAAGGAACACAACATGATTAGTGAGTGGAAACCGTGATCAACACTCCTACGACTGGCTGCTCATATGATTGGACTTGCGTGACTGACTGTCATGGCAATGTGGCCACAAACAGAACATTTTTTATTGCAGATGCACAATAGTTCATTTAAAGCTCAGGAACCGCCTGAAACCAGAGATTAATTTGTATTCCCACTTTTCAGTTCAGTCAACAATCTGATTTAAATAAATTACCCATAATTTATAAACTATCTCTGACTGAAAACTGATCAATGCAAACTTACAATGTAAGAACAACATTTAAAGCTGCAGTAGGTAATTTTTTATAAAAATTACTTTTTGTTATATTTGCTGAGACTTTCACTATATCCTGACAGTAGAACACGAGACAGATAATCTGTGAAACAATCAGGTTCCTCTATCTTATTTAGTGCTCTTAATGGAATTTGCTAAAATTCTCCGGGCCTGAGCGAAAACATCCAATCGGAGCAAGTACTGAAGTGCTGCAGAGATGCCCTGGCCTACAAATGTAGCTCTCCAGAATTAAGGAAACTTGTTTGTTTTCACATTATCATGATTTTTTTCAGTGCAAATTAAATTTGTGGTGCAATCTTGAATCATATCTGTCAGAATAATCGCAATACGATGTTATGATGCCCTGGTGTCTTCATTTGGGACAATGACTTGGGTCCCACCTCTCATCAATATCTATCTGAAGTTTTCTAACATTAGCCACTGTATGTTAATACATATATAATTAGCATAATTCAGAGTTTTAACCCTTGTAAGTTAAACAAAAATAACACTGTTTTAGAACATGACCAAGATCCAGTTAGCGTACTTATCTAGCAACCATAGATGTGTAGCTTTCGAAAATATCTAAATGTCATTGTAGTTTAAAGATCTGCTTCTGCTTGGCAAACCCTGACATCTTCTCTCACATCTGCATGTGATCAAAAAAAAACAAGAGTTAGGGAAGTTGATGACCAACATAACTTAGAAGGTGGTAGAGCCATGGTGAATTAAAATGGGAAGTGCCTCTCAGTAAGATGTATTTGTGTGTGTGTGGTTCACCACAGATGCAGAACTGAGTCTGATCGAATGCTCCTTCTCACATTTTGTGTGTGTGTGCAGGTTGATCTACAACAAGACCACACATGCCACCTCGTCCCCCCCGGGTGTGGACATCCGTGTCCCCGGGTTCGGACAGACGTATTCACTGGAGTATCTGGACCCCAGCAAACGCAGTGTGGGTGAGTCAAAGGTCCAAAACCAAACAGAAAAAGGTCTAAATGGGTCCTCACAAAGACAGACCAACAAGAATCAGACTTTTGTCACACCCATGTTCTGAGTAAGAGACTGAACTGTACGAGGCTTTCTTCTTTTGTGTCTGTCTTCGTAGGCATGTATTTCTTTACTATAGTGCAGGCGCTGGTGGAGTGGGGCTACACCAGGGATGATGACGTCAAAGGAGCTCCCTATGATTGGAGGAAAGCCCCCAGTAAGCAACCCCACACACACACACACACACACACACACACACACACACACACACACTCTTACACTGGTACATTTACAACATGTGACACAACAACTGTGTCAAACTCTGCACATACAGCATTCAAACAGCACAGTGTAGGAACAAGAAGAAACACTGATTAAAGAGTGGAGGGGACTTTATTTAAATAAAAAAATAAAAAAATAATTGTTTAGCAGGCATGTTAAATGGTTACAATGATTACAAACACATATATATAATTTTGTGAGTAAGTGTTGATCACTAGGCACAATATGATGAAATACAAATCATTTGGATGACGCTAGATATAAATGTGAGCACATACTTTTAAACATTGTTTGAAAGAGTATTTTAGGCAGTGAAGCCAGAATAAATGGGGTAAATAAACTTGGGAAGTGTGGGGAATTTTACCCATCAGGCCACTTTTCAACTTGGAACGTTTCTGTACAAACCAGGAAGCAGCCAAACCTTGAGCCAAGATGTTGGCAGCGCTCCAGCCTGTTAATGGGAATGCAGGGAGTTTCACAGTAACTTTGTTTACTCATCTTCTCTCTGTTGGTCTTTTCTCCTCTATCAGATGAGAATAAAGAGTATTTCCTGGCGCTGCAGAAGATGATCGAAGAGATGGCGGAGAAGGCTGGCGGGCCCGTGGTGCTCATCGCTCACAGCATGGGCAACATGTACACCTTGTACTTCCTCAACCAGCAGCCACAGGCCTGGAAAGACAGATACATCAAAGCTTTCATCTCTCTGGGACCACCGTGGGCCGGGGTGGCCAAGACGCTCCGCGTGCTCACCTCTGGTAGGGGGCAGAAACAGTTTTGGTTTGCTTATGTAGTGGGTCTAACCCTAAGAACCGTTGCTTGCTAATACACAAAGTTATTTTAGATTGATGATCTGACACTCCATAAAATTAAATTAGAATTTTGTAATTATCTATAATAAGGACAATTTTAAATTACATGTCACAAAATAACACAACATGCCTAAATTACAAATAACCAGACAAAATAACCCAATAATGTCTGCTAGGTTAGCATAACCAGGTCTTTCTCACACATGTGTGAGTAGTATATAAATAGTATATATACATAAACCTACTCATAACTACACTTATGAAGGATTGGCAGCTTTAATATATTGTTTGCCTCCCTAAGACTGTTATAGTTGGAGGTTATTTACAGCTTAAATGCTTAGTGTTGGACTTACAAATAGCAATTCAAGCCCCAACTCAAAAGTGTTTCCTGTAACCTTCAAAATAAAAGTCTTTGCTAAATCCATTCACCTCCAAGATTTTACAGGAAGTTATAGTTCTCTGTTTATAATTTCTAAAAGTGCAAAAAGATAAACACTACTACACATAGATCAACCGAATACTTGCCCTTTGAAGGCAACCTGTTATTTAGACATTGCTCAATGATCAAAGCCTCATTCTGGGATGGTAGGACTGGCTCAATAGACGGTGCTCCCTCCTGTCTATTTCAGACTCCACACATATTTTTATTTTATTTTAATGGATATATCTGTTCTCTAATGTGGTCAACAAGGGGGAGAAAAGCCAGTACCAGTTGCTTCTGCCCAGCTGTGAGTGAATGGTCTGCTGAGACCAACTTGCTAATGCTGGTGCTTCAATGATTTTGAGTTTTTTTTAACCTGTACTCCATTGCTGTTTGCCACTAAAGAGATCGAAAGACAGTGCAGATTAATGGTGTTGTGTTACATCTTTACTGGGTAGTGAAGTCCTCAAGCTTTTCAAACATCCAGTCATCTGTTGTAGTCATCTAAGTAGGGAGTTAATGCGTTTCATGTGGTGTGATGGGAAGAGCCTGTGTAATAACCCCAGTAATGCACAGCAACTGCTCCCATCCATCCTCTGTTAGATATTAGATTGCTTAACTGCTTAGACCAGATTGCATAAAGGACAGTTACACCAGATCCTGAATGCTGGTAAATGTTTCCCTGCCCTACCAGTAACCCTGACACACTCTGGATTAAACAGAACTGTACATCATACTGGATTTTTTTTTTTTTTTTGAGAAGCCACACAGCGAAAGTCCTCGTTGGTTTTGGCTCTATGGCTGGAAATTCTTAGCTCGCTTTCAGTTCCCCCCTGACTGGTTTCTTTTCTCTGCCAACAGGTGACAATAACCGCATCCCAGTGATCAGCCCGTTGAAGATTCGCTCCCAGCAACGTTCTGCTGTCTCCACCTCCTGGCTGCTCCCCTATGCCCACTCCTGGCCCAAAGATCAGGTCTGTGTGTGATGTATGTTTGTAGGCAGGCGTCCATCATTTTCTAAGAAAGACTTAAATTGAATCCTTTGTTTGCATCTTTGCCTCTTTTTTCATTTGTCCTCCTCTCTTGGCGTTCTGAGCTTTCAGTGTTTTCAAATTTACAATATCAGTTGGTAGTTACGAGCCCACAGAATTATCACAACAACTCTGTATTCTGTTTGTCACCTTGGAATGAGCTGTTTTTATCTTCAGAGGGTCCTTTTCTACAGAGTCTGCCATGTTGAACCTCCATGTTTTTACAGTAGGCACAGATCAGACAAAGCAAACACTGGCTCTAGATAGGGCCTTTCGCGTTTTTCGTGGCCACCATAGTTTCTCCTACATGCTTTTACAGCCCGTTCTCATTCCCAGCTCATCAGATACCAACGTCAGTGGTGTTCAGTTGAGTAGGTCTTACCCATAATGCCAACAGGCAGTGGTGTAGATTATCAAAATGAATTTCTTTAGTATTTGGTAGAAGTAACCAAATCAAACAACTGAGTAACTTTGTTTCCCCACCCATGCACCACCAGGTCTTGGTGCAGACTCCCGCCGCCAACTACACTGTGCAGGACTACAAGCGCCTCTACTCGGACATCGGCTTTGAGGACGGCTGGCTGATGCGGCAGGACACGGAGCCGCTGGTGACCGACCTCACGCCCCCCGGCGTGGCCGTCCACTGCTTGTACGGCAGCGGCGTCCCCACGTCGGAGGGCTTCCAGTATTCTGACAAGTTCCCCGACGTTGAGCCCACCGTGCTGTACGGCGACGGGGATGGGACAGTCAACCTGCGGAGCGCCGTGCAGTGCAAGCGCTGGGTAGGAAAGCAAAAACAGCCCGTGGCGTTAAAAGAGCTCCCAGGGAACGAACACGTGAACATGTTGCTGAACATCACGACTGTGTCTTACATCAAGACTGTGCTGTTCTCCCCGTGAGGCTGGAAGGAAGTGAGGGACTGGCTAGAAGGAAGATTGCTTTAATCACACACACACACACACACACACACACACAGACACACAGACATAGAGGTATATGTAGGACAGACTGACTCATCTCGCCTGTCTTTCTCAACACTGACTGCCAAAATATTCCTGTGTACATGCCACATCGCTTAAGAAAAAGTATTGAAATTTTGTAGCACAACTGCAAAAATGTTTTAAAATTAATTTTATAGCCGTAATTATACAACTTCTGTTACTGTCAGGTTGTTTACTGTCGAGTACGCCTAAATACAATGACTTTTATGAGTCTCAGCTTTTAAATAACCCAAGGTTTTACCTACTAAATTCTTGTATGGTTATTATGATAAAGAATGTGCGTATGTACAAGTGGAAACCCAGGGATATACAGTATGTGCCACTTTCTGAGTTATTAATCAAAGTCAGATCTTTTTATTAATATTGGAGATTTCTGAACTCCTTGGACTCTGATGTTTGGCTAAAGGGCATACTGTATTGGTATCTTTCAGGTCACATGTTACAGTGCTCTGACTTATTAACAAACCTAAGTAGACTTCTACCAAATCAACTTGTTTATTTGTTTTGTCATTTTATTTCTAGTGATCCTTTTGTTGATCTTTTATGTTTATTTTTTTGCATGCAGCCAAGCTGTACGTCCAGGATTGCTTCAAGGATAGTTTTTATTTACACGAGTCACAGAGGGACTGGAACCATACCTGGGGTGTGGATGTTGATTTTAGTCATGTTGAAGCCACTTACTTGCATTTTCAGGACCTTGAACCACATCTCATGGTCTGAATCAGTGAATGCAATCGGCTCCATTCATTGAGTTTGCTCATTGATGAAGACCATGAGATGCAGCTGAAAGCTCCAGAAAGAGCTAGCAAGTGAACCTTGGAGAAAAAAGATTTGTCAAAAAAAAAGAAAATCTTGAGTCAAGGTCCAATTACTGGCTTTTTCCAGAGCTTTCAACTGCATGTCATGGTCTTCATCAGTGAATGCCGTTTGCTCAATAGTTTTGGAGATATCTCTATTGTCCTGTCCATTTTTAAAAGGCCATGTGATGGCCGCTGTATCCGTTAATGAGCATGACATGTAGGTGAAAGCTCCAGTAAATCTAATAAGTGGATTTTTTAGTGTTATGGATTTAAACAAATTAAATTCTGCTCCTGATGGATCAAAAAACGTAATGTTTTTAACTGTTGGAATCATTGTTTTAGCATTCATGTATAATGTAAAATGAAATTACCCGCTATAGTAAGCTCTTTCTCTTCACTTTCAATGTCCTATACAGTACATTATGATTGTTCTATACATATGTTTTGCCCAGGTTTGGTTTGACCCTGGTGCCTGGATGGGCTGGATTTAAACAGGGACAAATGAGGGTTATTGTTCTTACCGTATAATTCAGATCTGTTTATTATTTTATATATCCTCTTTCTGTTTAGACAGACTTGAAAAGTTCCATGTGCAGAGTTTAAAACCTGACTCTGTCCTGGTGGAGAATCTGTCTGATCTGAGGGATTTTACTGTGCCATCGAGCCCTCTGTGGGCCAGACCAAGATGATATGCTCATATCTGCTGTGAACTATCATAAATGTGTGTCATAAACGTGTTGCCTTCTGTAGAGTAAATATTTCAAATATTACATTCAGCCATTGACTTTTCTTTGTGCAGTAAATCCCTCTGGTATACACTTCATTCATGCTATGTGGAAAAAAAAAAAAAAAAAAAGTTTTCCTTCAGTTTGATTTGAGAGACTTTACAGAGCCAGTGACATTACAATAATGGTCATTTTAACTGTATTAAGTGATGACTAACCTCTTCCTCTGTGTTCATGTCAAGGTAAATTACCAGATATGACTGTGTTGGAACCACACGCTGAGGTTTCAGTATGAATACATTTACAACTTCCTTTCTAATGTGCAGCTTCTCACACATGCGTCATGATTCTCTACAAGCTGAGCTGACGTGTGAACATCATACATCTTGTAATATTAATACCGTCCAATGCCAACCCAAAACTAGTATAAAACTAGTAGGAACTTTATTTATATACAGTATTACAATAACATTAACATTCTTTATTCTTGCTATGGAGCTTTGATTGTCTTTGCCGGGATGTGTCACACATAGCCACATTCCTAACAACTGTATGGCTTTAACCATGCAATTTAATCCATTCTCTTGATCTGATCATGTTTCCAGCTCATTTATGGTGGTCAGGAGTACACGGCTGTAAAGGTCCAGTGGTCAGTGTGTAGGTTATGTCAAATGTTCGGGCTCAAGAGGGAAGCGGAAGGTCTTGTTTCCCGTCCTGCAGCGCAGCTCCGTGCAGTCCAGCCTGAGCAGAAATGGTCCTTCTTCACGGTCATCAACCAGACTCTGAGGGTCACAAAATCAGAGCGTCAAGAGTAACCAGCTGGTAAATTCTGTGCAAGTCATTCAGTCAAAACTGCTGTGACTGCTTATCATGCGCACCCAGCGTTAACCCAGAACGGTCCTCAGCAGTGTTCAGCACAACACACATGCAAGAAATAACCGACTGCTGTATGAGTCTAACAGAGATTGCGATCTAAGCCTCAGAGAGGAACCCTACATCCAGACTAGAGCCTGATGGTCAACAGTATATCTGCTGATAATCTTTTTTTTAACATTAACACACATCCAATTTGTTAAAGAATTATGACTTGAGTGGGGCATTTTGCAGCTAATAAAAGGACTTCTAACAGCTCTTGGTAGATAAACTGATTAAGACATCCTATAAAATTACACACATATCTTTGGCATTTTTAATTAGGGGTGTATGAAAATATTGTAAAAACACTTTATTACCTTTTGTGTTTAAGCCCCCAACCACTAGATAGCAGTGTTGTAAATGTAAACTGAGGGCTATGATGTTTGTTGTTAGACGGACTGTGATACATACAAAGGCAGAAGCCCACTGTTCTGGTTGCACAAAATAAGTTAACTTTTTAATTTACTCAGCTTTTATTTATATTGTGGCGTGGTCTTTATAGCTTACCTAAAATCTGTTTTTTTAAATTGCAATATATCGCAATATACTGAATCGTAATGATTCACAACGTCAGTGTTGTTAAGTTCAGATGGACAGACACAAGCCACCCTAGTACCTGCAGCTCCTGAATGCACTCCTTCATCTGTCCCGTCACATCTCCCACACACCAGGCCAGACTCACGTGGAAAGATGGATCCTAGAAAACACATCAGAGGGAACATTGGGGAGGGAAGACATGGATGTGCACTACTCCAGATTCAGGCATTGACTTACACTTACACTGAAGACTGTGCTAGGTACTATAATGTAAAAACACACCTGTTATCTTATTATCTTAAAATGTAAATGGAATGTTTGCTACAGCATAGAAGAACATAACCCACTGAGCACATTTGCTGTGTTTACCCAGGTATCAACATATCAACAACAGAAAAAGACTAATTCAAACTTAAGAGTGAACCACAAAATGGTCCAACTGGTTGAACAGAGACCTTATAGAAAGTGTCCAGGTGAAACTCTGTCATTGTTCTGTCCACTGCTTGCACCAGCTCCAACAACTGAGCATGCCCAGTACACACTTCAATCCCCAGAAACGTCCTGCAGGGGATGACAGACAGACAGAAGTGATGCTCAGACATTTAAAACACACAGACAGTCATTAAGATTGAGGACACAACTAAAGGCACTGACTGTACCTCGTTCTCTCAGCATTACAATAGACCCTCAGTCTTCCCGCTGAGCACACAAACCTGGCAACAGGAAACACATTTAAATGAAAGTTCCACTTTAATCAGCTTCTGGTGTAATTTTTAATATATTTTTACTATTCCACTTACTCCATAGTACTCCTTATTCACCTTGCCTTGAGATAGTTATATTTATGGTAATACAATGATTATATATAACTGCACTCTCTTCATTGTTTGATTTCTCTATCATTTAATTTCCTTTTGACCTTGTTTTTTTTCTGTGATATATTTTGGTTTCATTTCACCACCACAACCCTTTATTAAAACATTTTTTGTAATAAATGTGTAAAGCAAAAAAAAGCAAAAATGAAATCAAAAGGAACTTAAGTTCATTCATCCTGTGTTTGGGTGTTTGAGCTAACCTCTTGCAGTGCAGCAGGCCTGCCCTGAGGCTCTGTGTGAAGGGTTGGATCCAGTGGTGTCTCAGCACCACCGTCTGAGACACGCTGAGGTGGAACTCCTCCTGCGGGGTCAAAAGCACACCACGGGCCCTTGCTGCTGAGAGGAGCTCCTCCAACAACTCCCTGAACTCCTCCTCAGGATGGTCTGACGTGGGGAGGAGACAGACAGAGAAACATGCACACAAGAAGAAATGAATGTGAGGCATCAGGTTGAATAAATGAGCACAAATCGATCAATGATAACTACCAATCATCAACAGCAAAGAGTGCTGGTCTTACATGGCAAATAAACATAGGTGGCCCAGTTGCCTCTCTCGTGTTTGAAGGAGCGGACGCGTCCACCATGAAGAGCGCTGTCTTCAGTCTGTGAGTCCACTTCCTCTGGAAACATGGCCAACAGGCATCCAGGAAGAGGCAGCCTGCTGGAATACACAGCCCAATATGAGTGCTCACCTTCATCTTCCAGCTGTTTAACACTAACTACGGAAGCCCACTTCTGCCAGTAAAATAAAAAAAATAATAATATGAAAACTCAAAGCCTCAAAACTATGAGATAAAAATGTATAATTGTAAGATAGAAAATTCATAATAAATCGAATTAAACTTGTTATTTAATAACTGTTATTATTATTATTTATTATCTCATAATTGTTACTTACCATGAACACTTTATTACCAAGGCTAAGTTTTCATCTTTTTTTTTTTTTACTGACGGAAATGGTCTTCCATATAAAAGACCTTTAAAATGGTTTAATCAGACAAGTTTAATAAGTAATCACAAGTTATAATGTGAGGTCTATACTGTGACATCCTCCTTATACTGGGCCCCCACACACACACACACACACACACACACACACACACACACACACACACACACACCTTGTTTTAGGAACCTGTTCCTCAGTTTTTGGTTTCTTCCTCGTTGGACAGCCATCGTTACCATCATCTTCCTCTTGGCACTTTCGAGAGCAACTTTTGTTTCCAGCAGTCGCCTCAGTTTCCCCTTCCTCCTCCTCCTCCTCCTCTTCCTCGGAGCTGCTGCTGTAGCCGACCAGCATCCTGAAGGCCGAGCTGTGTCAGCACATGTCAAACATCACGCATGTGAAAGAGCTGGAGAGCCTCGGTATTGATTCAAACTACAGCGGAAACAAACATGTTGGCTTCTAAACGTATTTTCAAACAAGCAGCCGGCGTATCTTCCGCTAAGTCTGTCGCTTCCGATGTAAACAACCCGTTGTAATGTTAATTTAGGTCCCAGTGAAACACAGCCCCACCACTAATGGGTTCCCCTTTCAGAGGTTTACTACAATTCGTGTACAGTGCATGGATGAGGAAGAAACTAATGAAGAAATGTCTTCATTAGTCATAAATGGATCCATGTCATACAGTCATAACAATATTTAAAGAGGTGACAGGTTCGGGTGCACCTAGAGGAAGACGTCGTTGTTCTTACTGTATAGTTTTGTCTTATAACCACTCACTAACACATCTTACTCTCTAGTACAACAGGAATCCAATGTGGTGGACGATAATACTTCTGCAGCAGAGTTTCATTAAAGCCATCATGTACCAGGTTCCGGGTGTGTGTGTGTGTGTGTGTGTGTGTGTGTGTGTGTGTGTGTGTGTGTGTGTGTGTGTGTGTGTGTTGTGAGCGTGCCAATTAAGTCTTGGTTTATTCATGTTCCCGTGCGCGGGCAGGGGCTCAGAAGCTAGCCGATAGCTAGCTACCAATTTCTATCAAAATGCCTATGTTTTCGCCAGCCGGGAGGATGCCCTAGGAGCCAAATAAATGAACACGTGAAACGATAGCGTTTAGGGGGTGATTTGGGAAATCGCGGGAGAATTTTCGACCATTTGAATGACCCGCAAATCCAAATATTTTCCGGCCCCTGAAGCCACAGCGCTCGAACAAGAGAGCTCCCGAGCACCGTCTGCGGATGTGAAGAAGAGACCTAGCGGTATTTGGGGGAGTAGCTAACCTACTACAGACTGGCATCTATCGGGGACACTCAGGAGGCTTTTCTAAACACTCCAGGTATGTAAATGTGGAGCTTCTCATCCCTGTTGACATGCACCACTCACTAACAAACGTGTCGGTTGCTAAGAGGCTATTCTTTTCCCGTGGCTAGCCCGCTAACGTTAGCTCTTTCCTGCGCCTCTGTGGCTGCGTTAGCAAGCGGCTAGGCTAGCTAGCTAAGCTATGCTGATTACACTGATCTTTGCCTGGAGACGAAAAACGTTATGATGCGCAGACGCTGCCTTCCACTTTTTTTTTTTAACCGCGAATCGTTGAGCATTTGGATTTCTGCATAGACAGGGGTGGTACTGCATAACCTGAATAATAAAGAGTTGAATATACGACTTTATCGTGAATTGTTTGTGCCCTGCTGGGTATGTTAACGACTGCTCGCTTGCTGTGTGTTTCTGCGCTCACGGATGTTGCACATTTCCTAATCGTTAACGATTATATCTCATCGCATTGGGATGCTTTTAGCAATGTTAACACACTGTGCAACCCACTGTAAGAGTGTTCCTCCCGTCCATGTACATGGCTCTGTGACTTTTGGATGAAGATATGACTGATGTGAACACGTTTTCATCACTTCAACCGTTGTCACATCCGTTTTGTCTTCAGTCGGAGTTGCTCAGTGAGCTGGTGTGTGAATGTGAACAATCCGCTCTGGTATTGTGTTACAGAGGCTGTCTGGCGCCCAGCTGTTGTAAACCTAACATTGCAACATGTCCTACACTATTACTAATCCATTAATGTGAATGTTTCTGCTTCTGCTGGGTTTACACAGGTGGGTCGTCTGGCTCCTAGAGCTGATGGAGGGAGGTTGCAAACGCACATTAGCAATTTCTCTTCATTTTTTGAAAAGCATTTTGCTACACAAATATTCTTTTTTGGCCAGTGTGTACTTTTTGTTGCACCACATGATGTTGGAGAAACGACATAATGCTTAAACCCATAGACACCGTTGTTATCTGCCCATTGTTTGACTCACTATGACTCTCTTTTTCCATACAGATACCACTTGAAGGCCAAGAATAAAGTTAAAGTAGGGGAAGTCTGATATCCACGCAGCTGTTCTCCTCTGTGCATCTGTTCCCGCCATTATATCCTCCCCTACTACCTCTCCACCAAGCACCCTCGCTAGTTCTTCACTGCTGCTACTGCAATGGAGTGAGTTTCTTGTCTTTTTATCTTGACACACTCTGAAGCCTATAGCCCATTATTTAAATATGTGCCTATCTCCCTTTCTCACTGCAGTTGGGCCACACCAGCTGCCAAACTGAATCCCTACACCAGAGCCCGCATGACAGAGGCCTGGCAGCAGCATGCGGTCGCTCCACCTCAAGTCGTCCACACCATCCCTCCAGGAGCTGAGAACGCGTTGGGCTGTGCTGTGTATGGCATTGTACTTCAGCCAGATGCCACGTCTTTGCAGCAACAGAGTCAACATGGACAGCACAGCCAACACAGCCAACAACACAGCGGGGGTCAGCAGCTTGGAGGCGGGCAGCACAGTCAGCAGCAGCACCCCGCCCAGGCCCAGCAGCCCTCCCTACAGGTAGGGACGGAGGGAGGACACAAGTGTGGGGCCTGTGGACACGATATCTCCCACCTGGCCAACCCACATGAGCACCAGTGCATGGTGAGTCAGGACAGGTCATTCCAGTGCACACAGTGCATGAAGATTTTTCACCAGGCGACAGACTTGCTAGAACACCAGTGTGTTCAGGTGGAGCAGAAACCGTTTGTGTGTGGGGTGTGTAAGATGGGCTTCTCTCTACTCACTTCTTTAGCCCAGCACCACACATCCCATAACAGCACCAACCCAATGAAGTGTTCAATATGTGAGAAGACCTACCGACCCGGTTCTTCTGGCAACGTCACACCCAACTCAAATAATCCCCAGCAGTCCGGCAGTGATGGGGCGTCAGCCAGCAGCAGCTCATCCATTCTACCCTTTCCCTCGGCCCGAGACCGGCCGTACAAATGCTCTGTTTGCCAGAAGGGCTTCAAACACCTGTCAGAACTCACACGGCATGAGAGGGTGCACACAGGAGAGAAGCCCTTCAAATGTGACACATGTGACAAGGCCTTCAGCCAGTCGTCACACCTACAGCACCACCAGCGAACACACAGCAGTGAACGCCCATTCAAGTGTGCTGTTTGTGAGAAGAGTTTCAAGCACCGCTCCCACCTCGTGCGCCACATGTATGTGCACTCCGGTGAGCACTTGTTCAAATGCAACTTATGTGAGCTGCACTTCAAAGAGTCGTCAGAGCTCCTCCACCACCCCTGCCACCCGCAGGGTTCTCGGCCATTCCGCTGTGCCACATGTGGTAAGGGTTTCAAGCGGCCATCTGACCTGCGCCAACACGAGCGCACACACTCAGAGGAGCGTCCCTTCCACTGTGATGAGTGTCAGATGAGCTTCAAGCAGCAATATGCGCTGGTGCGCCATCGACGCACACACAAAGACCCTACTGACCGGCCATTCAAATGCAATCTGTGCGACAAGGGCTTCATGCAGCCCTCTCACCTCCTCTACCACCAGCACGTCCACGGCATGGACAACCTGTTCAAGTGCGCCTCATGCCAGAAGGAGTTCAGCCAGTCAGGAGAGCTGCTCAGACACAAGTGTGGCGAGTCGTCAAACACCTCGCCCGACAAGCCGTACAAGTGCGACGTGTGTGGCAAGGGCTACAAGAAGAGTTCCACGTTACAGCGTCATCAAAACTCTCACTGCCAAGAGAAGCCCCTCAAATGCTCGCTCTGTGACCGCCGCTTCCTGTCCTCTTCGGAATTTGTCCAGCATCGCTGCGACCCGTCGCGGGAAAAACCGCTGAAGTGTCCTGACTGTGAAAAACGTTTCAAATACTCTTCAGACCTGAACCGACACCGGCGCGTGCACACAGGGGAGAAACCGTACAAATGTGGCCACTGCAACAAGGGCTTCAAACAGCGCGAGCACCTGACCAAACACGCGAGCACGCACTCCAGAGAGGGCCAGTTCAAGTGTGTTTGGTGCGGCGAGCGTTTCAGTGACTTGGGCTCTTTGCAGGATCACACGGTGCAGCACACAGCCGATGGAGGGGGTTACCCTGTGCCCCAGTGCATATAAATCCTTGGAAACTTTTTCTCTCAAACAGACAGTCCCCTCAACTCCTGTCCTTTTGTCTATCCCTTGTAGGCTGTTTATTCAGCCTAACTATCACCGCATCTGCAGGACAGACCAGGCTGTTATTAATGCACTCATTCACTTCAGTGATACATCAGGTTTTCATTGCTTTACTAACCTGCCCAAAGCCCTCATTCCATAAAGTCCTGAGGAGGCCTTTTTCTCTCCATGTGCTTTCCTTTTTGTTCCACCTCTTTTTATTCTTTTACCACTCCCCTGTTTCTCAGCCACACGTTCAAATAGTTGATAGCAGTGAAGAAGCCACAACCACTTAACTGCCATCATTTATATTTGGACTGAAACAGGTACCATAATACAGGCTGATTTAGCAAATACTTAGATCCTCCTAAAAAAAAAAAAAAAGAAAAAGACATTGTCTTATAAGAGACATAAATTGTTTGGTATAGTGTAAGGTGTGCTGAATTAGTCAATATAGGCGAGACTCACCTAAACTGACTGGGCCACAAACGTTTTCTTTGCCGCTGGAGTATCCACTAGAGGGGGATCATTCCCTTGTTTTTTGCTTTCACCCTCTCTTTCTCCGACTACATCTCTTCCCCCCGGTCTTCAGTTTCTCCCTCGTTCTTCCCCCTCATTTGTGCTTTTGTTTTGCATCCTCTTTCGGTCTCGGCCTGTCGCTGTTTAGTATCAGACGAGTGGAAAGTTTGATTAACCCCTCAGATGCACATGCACTCAGATTCAGACTTCAGATGCTTTTCACCCCCACACGGTCATAGTATATCGTCTATTTTGGTCCCGACCCAATTCCCACGTCCCTCTGAGTTCTAGTACTTTACTTATTATTTATGAAGTAGCCAGAAAGCTCCTCAATGTATGTGAAGGGAAATGGGGTGGAGGGTGGAGTTTGGGGATTTATAGTCCTATAGTGAAATTATTCAGATGATAAAATGTCTGTGAGCGTATGTGTGGGCCATAGTTATGGCTACCTCCCGTTTGTACCAAAACACCAGGATGAAGCAGCACCCGATCCCAAAGGTGTGTAGACTAACTAACCAGCTGAAGTTAACCAATAAAACCCCCAATGATCGATACCAGTCTCTCTTGTCAGTATAGACATATATAGAAATATATATTTCACACCTAATGTACTTGTCATATTCCTGCAGAGGTCTGTGCGGTTAGACTTATGTGTCCTGGAAATGTCCACGTTTTGAACATTACACTTCCTCTCAGCCTGTACATACTGTGGATGTGTGGAAATGTCAGAACTTGTCTTTCTTAAAAACAATATGTAAGAACTGTTTTTGTATTCTTGCTACTTTTTACCATGTTAAATGTTTTGACAAAGGCTCTTTTGTTGTTTTTGTAGTCCATGTAGTGATTGTATCGGTATGTTGCAGGGAATCTCAAAGAGCACCCTGCGCGTGTGTGTGTGTGTGTGTGTGTGTGAGTGAGTCTGAGTGTGAATGTAAACAGTATTCTGTCAAACAGGGAAATTCAGACTGTAGAGAATCGTATTATAAATGTTTAAACAGACCTGCGCCTTTTTTTTAATTTACTAACCTTACTGGTCTGTCAGAGCTGTTTCTGCAGGATGAACCTGCACTTTGTGTTACATATTTTCCATGTTTTGAAAGAAATATTAATACTGTTTGTTCTGTTACAAGTTGCATTAAGGTTTACGTTGTGTCTCAGAGGGAATGACACCTTCCTCCTCTGTGAATGCTATGAGATTGTAGTTGCACTTGAGAAGCCTGGAATGCAAGTTGGTTTTACATGTCAGCTGTGATCGCCACTGTTCCTTTTTCTGATCATCTGGGGAGCTGTTCCCTCTCCCCTCTCCCCCTCTGTCACTGTTGATTCATGGTTTGAGTGCAGTATTGAAAAGTGTTGAATACAAACAGAGGAGGCCAAGGAAGTAACTTTTTTTTTTTTATTCTGGCTTGCAGTTCTTTTCTTTTTGTTTTAGCCTTAAAGTGGCCACAGTACCTCTCTGCTCCTTCCTCCTCTTCTGCTCTCTGTCTTTGTCCTTCATCACCATCATCATGCGAGGTCAGACGGTTGGTTCCACCAGCCATCATCTTTCCTTTTTTATTTTCTGAATCTGGCATTATAAGACTTTGAGAACAACCTGGACTTAAAGTAAAGAAGTACTGTATGTATTTTTTTCACATTTGTTTTTATTATTTTTAATGCGTATTCTTTAAATTGATATGAATATCTATATTCCTCGAGGGAGAGACCAGGGCCTTGGGTGAGTTTGTGATGAAGGCTGGCTGGTTTTTTTTTTTTTTTTTTTTTTTGAACAATGTAGAATTGTTTCTAAGGCCAAATCACAGAAGACACAATTTCTACACAAAGAATTCTGTAGGGTGGTGGTGTGAAAGTTGAGTAATTACAACAAAAACTGCATCAGGAATCAATGAAGGTGGGTTCATATTTGCCAAGACCTACAAGTACTCAAGAATGTTCGACTTGTTAATTGGTGCTGATACATCATCAGATGTGCATAATAAAAAAATAGTCGCTCCAGGTGCAGACCAAGGACCTCACATACTGTGTTGACAGTAGACTTAACATGTAATAATAATAATAATAATACAAGTGTCTGTTCACAGCCCAATAATTCCAACCCTGCAGCACTGGTTTAGTTGTTTGTATCAGTGAGGGCAACTGTGTGGTCGTGCATTTGTCCTGTGTGTTATAGAGTACTGTTGAGGTGTGTGAAACATTAACGGACCAATCTGCAGTGAGGAATACTGCAAAGTGAAAGGGAGAGCTGCACTGATCAGTGTAATATCTACGCAGTCAGGGAAAGGAGAGGAAACTCTCCTGTATAAGCACAAATGAAATAAATCCACCCTCTTGCATTTTAACTGATGGTTCTAATGGAAACATTTGGTTCAGGCACCAGTTCACCCAGCCACCATCCTCCTTCCTTTTCAGTTCCAGTAAATAAACCCGTCAGACCCTGGTGTCTCTTGCTCTCTGCATGCTTGCTGTGTTAGTTCCTGTGTTCTGTCCCTGGGAACTAGTGCCCCCTTCCTCCTCCTCCCCCTCTTCCTCTCCTCACAGCACTGTTCCCTCCTATAGCTTTTTTCAAATTGTACTGTAGTTTATGTGAATGATGTTGAAAAAAAAGAAAAGAAAAAAACTTTTGTGGCGACGTACATGTACATTCATGCTAAGATTATCTGTATGTATGTAGCATTCAATTACACACAGCACTAACAAATAAAACTTTTTTCATTTATAAACTTACACGAGTCAACTGAGATACAACATTTTTCTGATTTTGGAGAGATATTGTTGACATTTTGGGGGGAGGGTTGTTTTTTTATTTCTCAAATATTTAATTGTATCCTTTAAATGTATTATTCCAGCCAGAGCACATTCACAGACCCATTTGACACCAGTGTTAGTACTATAATGAACAAGATCCTTTAAAAATAAAAGTGTAGAGGATAAATACAACCACAAACGTCTGATTAGACATGAAGTATCCTTGAGCAAGACAGATATTCACAGCCTCAGTAGGTGGTCTGCTGAGGGTGCCAAAATAAAAGAATCGTCCTCTGTGGATTAAGTGTTACAGAATAAGCCTTGAGTGCAGACTCACATCTACACAACAGCTGTGTGTCAATGGTGAGCTGTTGAGAAGACATTATTTACAGTGCTCACATTTAGCTTTCTTTACCGGGTATTGGAAACAGAATGGACTGCAATTGTCAGAAATAGTAGCACTCATTGTTAAAGATGACCCATTTAATTATTATGTGTATATTATATTTCATTGTATGATTATTACTGATGCATTAAGCAGCATTGTAATGTAGATATTCAAGGTGGAAAGCATCTAATGTGTTGTATATAACAATTTTTAGACGTATATAATCTGTAAATAAGCCACTAACTACAGCTGTCCAATAAATGTACTAAAGAGTGCATTTCCCTCTGAAATGTGGAGTTGAATTGAGTATTTAAGTGCATTACTCTGCACGCGCGTTTTCTTCAGTCCATGGCGATCCCAAACCCCCACACACACACACACACACACACACACACACACACACACACACACACACACACAGACTCTCATATGTTAGCCAAACTGCAACTATGACACTGACAGCTCAGTTTACATTCAAAACCGAATCACAATGTGCGTAAAACCAGAGGTCACCAGTGGCGCAGCGGGAGAGCGCATGCCATACAGCCTGCTGCTACCACTGCAGGCCTCATGTGATTGGATGATCTAATTCATATCAATTGTATTATTCTCATATGGAATGAAACCTCTGCCGTGCCTGTGCCTTATTTTGTTGTAACAACATGTCACCGTGCGTAGAGGCCAACTCAGCTGTGCGTAAAAGCGTACGTTTTACAGGCTTTAATGTGCGTTTTGATATTTATTTGTATGCACTTTTGGAACAGCTGTCTGTAGGACTGCACATGTGATTGTTTTTTATTAATGACGGATAGACAGATATCTGATTTCATATCAGACAACAACAAGATATAATATAACAAACTCTTATTTGACACTTTTAATTAGGGGGGCTGTGAACTTTTGATTAGAGCAAGTTTTTTTTTTTATGACCCTAATACTGTACTTTTATTTCGGGAAAACGACAAACTTGTTTTTTTTCCTTTCTCCATGAGCCCTCTCGGGCTCCGTATAATTCAGAGGTTTGGGGGGAAATGTTGATATAAAATGCGGATAAATGCTTGACAGACAAAAAACCCGTGAGACTTTAACGTGTGTCCCTGTCTCACATCCTCCCCAGCAGAGGGCGCTGTGCCCCGGCTGCTCAGCCCAACATCACATTCCTCATCTTCACCCCGGCAGGCAGCTGCTTTCACATCCGGGCGGCTCTCTCGCTCCTCTTCAATCGCAATCCGCTTCCCTTCCCTGCGCTCTCGACCGGGGAGGTCTGTGGCTGCAGAAGAAACCCCCGATTCCCGGGCCCCCTCCATCGGCGTCTGGTACCGGGCCACTGAGGCGCTGCATCCCCGCACAACCGGTCGCACATGACGCGGGCTCCGCCGATGGTGGTGCACGGCGCCGAGCGCTCCCCGTCGGTGCGACATCTCCGCGCTGAAGTAGCATCGCAGGCTAACGTCAGCTAACAACATCGATCTCTCTCTGCTGCTCCACCCCCCCCCCTCTCCCTCCGGTCGACCCCCGCTGCTACCGATCCGTCACATCAACAGTTGATTGATAGCTTACACTGGACCACCGAGGGCAAGCCCCCCACCCCCACGCCCCCCCACCCGTCCGTCCATCGGCTAGCGCAGGAAGCCCACCCGTTTCCTCCCCTTACGTTTTCGGATTCAGGGCCCGCAAAGAGAGTATCTTCAACCCGTGATTTTTAGATCACCGACCCGCTCTCCTCCTCCTCCTCCTCCTCCTCCTCTGTGGCCTTTTTAGGGGTCCGTTTCCTCTCTACCTCAACACCCCGATGCCTCCCCGTCCCTGTATGTAACCTCAGCTGCACTATCACCCCGACTCTGATCAGCCCCACCTCCGAGCCCCGCCGACACCGGCTCTGCTGCTTCTGACAATCCGACCCAGGAGCGCTGCTCGGCGCTCACTTACTGCGGCGAACCCCGGCGGACATCAGCGGTTCTTTCCCTCCCTTTTCTCTCAGTCTGGCCGCAGAGGGAAGCTAGCTGGCCGGCTGGCTGGCCTGTTCCACTTCACACCCACACAGACAGCAAAACCAATTACCAGTCTACCCCTACAGCCGCCTCCCCCTCCAGTTTATCCGTGACACCCCCCCCAACCAGCAGATCTCCCGTGACACACGCCCCACAGCGCCCGAGCCTCGGGTCTCGCCATGCCGGGTCCGGTGGCCGGTAGCAAGTCCCGTGTGTACGCAGACGTCAACACGCTGAAGAGCCGGGAGTACTGGGACTACGAGGCCCACGTACCCAACTGGAAGTGAGGACATTTGTGTTTACTGCAGGTTGCTGTAATTGCATGCATGTGATGTCTGACCACAGCGGATAATGGCTCTGTGTGTGTGTGTGTTGGTGGAAGAGGGAAAGTGTGGCAGATGGGTGTCTATTATTATACATCTAGCTGTGAGGGTGCGATGACAGGGTGGTGGTACAGTCTCTCAGCCCACTACCCTGCTGTTCTGCACTGTCTAACACTTTCCTCCATCACCTCCATCTCTGTCCCCATGTCCCCCCTGTCTGTTGAGTAACATCTGCCCCGAGATCAGAAGCAGAAATGCCTTCATTCCCCAGGGCAGAGCTTCATCTCAGTGACAGAAGAACACTTACTCAATACTTACGGACTTAACTGCACACTGACGCTGAAAATATTATTCTTTCTTTTCTCACAAAGTCACACTTTGCTCTGCACTGTTTCTCTGCCCGTCCCTATAGCAACCAGGAGGACTACCAGCTGGTTCGTAAGCTGGGCAGAGGGAAGTACAGCGAAGTGTTCGAGGCAATCAACATCACCAACAATGAGAAGGTGGTGGTCAAGATCCTGAAGGTGAGCAGTTGGTGGTCTGGAGCCCTCCCCATGAAATAGACTACAGTATACATTGTCAGTGAGCGTAACATCAAGAATGAGAGTCTTGATTCTTAAAATTACTCGGAACAGACTCAGAGATTGGATGACAAACCCTGCTGACCTTTGTTGACAGCACAGGCTTAAAAAAGGTGGTGCCACAAGGTTTTCTAGCAGATGGTCATTTTGTGTGTTGGACTATTAGATAGATGTTAGAGTTAGTGTAAAAACATTTAGTTGATTAAGCAATTACTTTATCCCCCAATTTAATCTGCTTCTGGTTTTTTCATCATCAAATACTTTGTTAATTATTATTATTATTGTTATTATTAAAGTAATTTCCAAATTCCAGCTTCTAAATAGTGACCATTTCCTACCTTTTTAAGTGTTTTTTTGTTGTTGCGATATATGCGATAATATCGTATGTTGTCATCCCTATTGTTACTATTACATATTTATTCTTTTGATAAATGCTTAAATATATAAATTAATATTCAAATGAATAAATTAGATAAACTAATATAAGCTGAAATTAATACATGAAAATATGACATTAATACATAAATGTTGGTCATTAATGAGGAAATGAATACGTCTTTATTTCTACATATCTATGGTATCTATGGTAATGAAGTAGGCGCTACTAGCTGCATTCTATCCAGGATTGGTTAGAGGAGCGTCACTTTGCCTCACTACTGGTGTATAAAGCTGACTGGTGCAGCTGCTACTGATGTGAGATAGCTGCAAGCTCTTCAGCTTCAGCCCGATTCGCTTGGCAAATGTTCACATATTTATTAACGATTTATATGTCATTAAAGCTCCACTCCAAAAACAGCAGTAATTGAAGTCATTAAAGGTCCAGTGTGTAAGATTTAGGAGGATCTATTGGCAGAAATGGAGAATAATATTTATGTTTTTATTAGTGTATAATCACCTACATTTTGGAATGAGATAGACCTACTTGGACGGATGAGGATGCCTGTTTCCATTTCCATTTAGCAAGGGACAAAGAGTCAAAGCCAGTGTCAAGTTGTCTGTCAGTCATTTTAATGTAAACATCCCCCTCCCCCGCCCACACTAAATGTCTTTGAACAAGGATTGACAGACGGATGCAGAAGAGTGCTACAGCAGCAGGATCAGCAGCTTCAAGATCAGGAGTCAGAAATAGCACATGGGCCAACGTCTCCGCTTCTACGTCTTGATGTGAATTTTCTTTTTTTCTTGTCTCATACTCCAAGATCTCTCTAAACCTCTGCCTTTGTTTTCCCCGCTTGGTTTTCCTGTGGAATTAGCCGGTCAAGAAGAAGAAGATCAAGCGAGAGATCAAGATCCTGGAGAACCTGCGAGGAGGGACTAACATCATCCGACTGGTGGACACAGTCAAAGACCCAGTGGTAGGCCCGCTAACTGCATGCCTGGCCTGTTAAAATAAGGAAACGGATGTAGAGTGATTGGAACTGTTGTGAGACGTTAGTTGTCTTTTTTTATTAGGTGCCCTGATTTCACACAAGGATGAACATAGCTCAAGTTACAGAGTTTGCTTCATCCTATAAGGACATTATTATTAGTAATAATAGTTATAGGACTGTTTCTTTCCCAATACCAATTTCGGTGCCTGAACTCGGGGTATACCAAGTTAACAAGTTCCCTCTTAAAATCTGTAAACCTCACTGCATGAGCCTGACTAGGAACATCATTTCATATGTAAAGAGATTTAGGATATAACTACACGTCCTTTCTTAAAGGCACCCTGTGGAGTTTTTTGTAAACAAACACATTATTGTTAACATTCCTTGTTTCTCACCACAATACAAGTAAACTATCATTGGAATTAGAGCTTTGATTCTCTGGCCAAACCTGATTGGACCCAACACAACCCGCCTGGGTTTGAGCCCAAAACTGCAGCTGTAGGTCGGACTCGGGCTGACACAGAATTAGATATTTCAAAATATATATATATATATATATATATATATATATGTTTAATATTTTATCATTAATGCATGCCACTGTAATAAATTAATGAATTATTAGTTTTAGGTAATAATTTGAACTGTATTATATGCACAATGTAGTTTACTTTAGCTTGCAATAAATAATATTTAAAAAAGCTGAAACTTCAGGTTCGGGTCAGGCTCGGCCCCAAAACTGCTACCATGGTTCAGACTCGCACAGAATTCTTTCAGACTAGGCTCGGGTCAGGCTGTTTTGCGTTGCGGTGGGCCTGTGTGTACACATATGCGTACGCAAGCATGTGCACTACAGACAACAAAACGAGATCCCACTCATAGAAACCTTGCTCCATAGCACTACTAGTGGTCAAAAACTCTCATGGTGCCTTTAACTGTAAGTGGAAGCTATGAGTTGCTATGTATGTAGTGGCATTCCATCACCACAACAAATAAACAGGGCAGAACAGGAAAGAATTGTATAACAACACTGACACAGATTTTAATGTGAATCGCCACTTAACAATTTCAGCACCAGTACTGTAACATATTGCATCTCTGCGTCCCTAATTACGTTGTGATAAAATATGTTTCTCTGCAGTGTAGTTCACACTTTAGGTCAACACAGAAGTGTTCTTTATTTTGTTCCATCATTTTAGAGTTCATATGAGAAAATCAACTTGAAACTTATTGACTGTATTTCTGTATCTGATGTTTTTGTTCCATTGAATCTTATCAATCCCCAAAAATCACTCTTCTTGCAGCATGTGATCAAACAGCTACCTTACACCTGTGTCACATATGGATATTTAAAGCACAAGTAAGCAACTGCCAACTGGGTAATGATGGGTTTAAGGAAAATGTGGATTTTTTGAGTGATTTCAGCTGTCGCAACTGATATAATCACTTTTGGGAAGCACTGATTGTTGATTATCAACTGGATGTGATTATTACTTTTATCAGGGGGGTGAAACCTGGTGCTGCTGTCAGTGTGGATGGAAGGAACGTTGTTGTTCTGCTGCTCATGTTGTGATTATTTTAGTTTATGGGGTCAGGGTTCCCACTGGTCCAGAAATTTAAGCAATGTAATCCAGTAAAGTAAAGAATTATTTGGAGAGTTTTACAAATGGGCTATGTATGGATATGTTCAGTAATAAGTCTGTGCTGGAAACCAGAGTCAATACCTCCTTTAGATAACTTTTCTGAGTTGGAAACCATAAACAAACCAGGAAGGAAGAGTATTTTTAGGCCATGGAAGCACACCGACTTATCCAGGGCGTCTTACAGTGCAGTGGTGGGAACCATGCAGGCTCCTTTTGTTTGGGATCAAGTTTCCTGTAAACAACATTTGTTAGAATACTTTTATTATTAGTAGTAGTAGTATTAGTATTATATTCACAGTTTTTGGTCTGTTTGCTTGAAATCAAGCAGAAACGACTGCTCGGCCGTCTATGTAACGTGAGGCAGAAGGTTTACCTATGTGTCCAGTTTGGGTCCAGTTCACTTCCAGTAAGATCACACACTGGGGTTGTCAAATCTGTGATTATTCAGGTGACTGAATCAGTAATGAGCCACATCCTGCTGTGTTTTCATCGTTGTTTCCCCTCTCTGTCTCTCTGTGGCGGCTGTACAGTCCAGAACTCCAGCGCTCGTCTTTGAATGCATCAATAACACAGACTTCAAGGTACAATGATCACCTCTCTTCTGCATGCTTCTGGGGCTCTGCTGTCATTTCTTTCACTGTAATGCCATAAGTTATTTTAACTCAAAAAACTTGTTGAAACAGATTAAATCGAAAATTAGTAGTAGTAGTAGTATTCTTGATTAAGCAGCTAAATGAACTTATCTGGTTTTACAGTGTTGAGTTGCCATTGAATGTGTTCAGACCCAGCCAGGGCAAAAGCTGCAGGGGGCATCAGTTTTTCACATTGAAGATTCAAATGCTGGAACTTGTTTTTCCTTGCAGGAGTTGTACCAGAAGTTGACAGATTATGATATCCGTTTCTATATGTATGAACTACTGAAGGTGAGACCTGTAACATACTTTCAAAATGTTCAATTCAATGAATAAGACATTTTTTCACTTACTCTAATCTTGGCATGGTTCCTGGGAATTCAGAAGACTGTGTACACATATTTATATATTTGTCTGCTCTGACATTACGTGTTTGTGTGTGTCTGCCAGGCTCTGGACTACTGTCACAGTATGGGAATCATGCACCGTGACGTCAAACCCCACAATGTGATGATCGACCACCAGTTGAGAAAGGTAGGTGGTGCCCTATATAGTTCTTTTTTTTTTCTTCACACACCCACACACACTCTGAATATTATCTCTCGGCTGCTATTTCAGCCTCTCTGTCTCTCTCTCTCTCTCTCTCTCTCTCTCTCTCTCTCTCTCTCTCTCTTTCTCTCTCTCTCTCTCTCGCTGTTTATTTTCATTCTGGCTTTCTTTATCCTTTCATTCCTTTCCTTTTTTATATTCTCCATTTGAAAAGGAGTTAGACTATTGTTGTTTGGTAATGCATTAGCCTTGGTTTTTATCCGCACGGTGTCTAAATAACAGCACAACTCATAAATGTGTGTTTTGTTGCTGTCTGTTGGTGAGTGCTACAACACAATTCACTCTGTACACACTTCATGAAAGCATTTATTGTGACTGTGCTGAACATATGACAAAGGAATATCATCTGTCGAGACATGAGCAGTGACGGCAGAACAGACAAAGTAAAGAGTGCAGAAAATCTGTGTCTATCAAGAAAGAAGAGGATAGCCAAGCTAGGACTGCAGCCATAGCCACTGGCTGTTACTAGTGGGCATGCCTCTTGCTGTGGCCTTGGCTAATGGCTATTGCTATAGTTATAATGTTAACTGTGTCTGTGATTGAGACTGTCTGGCTTGCTTTTTTTGTTTTAAAGGTACAGTGTGCAGGATTTAGAGGCTTCTAGCGGTGTAGATTAGAGCTGCACAATTAATCTCAATGTTATGGAAATCACAAGATGGCCCAGTGCAATATCCAAATCGCAGAAGCTGCAATTTTAATAAAGGTAAAATGTGTGACAAGCACCATTCTAATGAACTGCTGTTGTGCTGCAGAGATGCCCTGACCTACAATAGCTTATTCTCCAGTTTTAAGAAAACACATTTGCTTGTACAGACCCCCGGACTCCAGGGAAGGCAACTGTAGGCGTCTGTAGACATCAATGGCTAATTCTAAGGTTAACAAACATAACTAGTAGTTATGCATATTATATTTCATTCCATATTCCATTTCTGCCAATAGATCCTCCTAAATGTTACACACTGCACCTTTAACAGTACTAAAAATAGTTACACTGGCCAAGAAAGTATAGCCATAATCACAGCAACAGCAGTGTCCACAGCTGTTGTAGCCATGGCTACGGTCTAATCACAACTACAACCTGTCACAACTGCAGCTGTAGCCAGTCATAATAATTAGTCTGTGCCTGCTAGTTTAACATTAGCTGGGAAGGTACAGGCTTGTGGCCGTGTTACCTATCGTGACCGTGACGTATTTTCAGCCCCAGTCTCAGCACAATGTGATTAAAATATCAACCTAGAGGGAAAACAAACCAAGCCAGCTAATACGAATAATGCTGCCACATAACTAGCATGTTAACCGCAGAGCCTTACATAGATTAAACATAAAACACAATTGCTGTTAGGCTGACATGATTGATAAAGGATCACAAACTCGACCTCATACCCACAGCCAGTGGCTATGGTTACAGTTGGCCCTGCTGGGATTTGTGGGAATTAGAGTGAAGAAAAACATAAACTACAAGCATCAAAATAAGAAAAACAGTATGTTCATCAGAGGATCCCACTGAGTAAAGCTGTATTGATTTCACTGCCATCTGCTGAGCAACACCATATTAAATTCAAATATACATGGATTCTTACCAGCCTTGGCCAGTAGGGGGCAGCAGGCTAGCATAAATGAGAATTAACCCAATATACCCCACAGAAAACATATCACACACTCCTGTAACAGTGTGTGTTGAAAGGTGATATTCGGTTACATCTGGTAGTGCTGTGTACTTCCTCTTTCTCTATATTCTTATATATTCAATATTCAAAACTGTGAAGTGAATGAATTAGGATAACTTGTGTTTCCATAGCTACGCCTTATAGACTGGGGTTTGGCAGAGTTCTACCACCCATCCCAGGAGTACAACGTCAGAGTGGCGTCGCGATACTTCAAAGGCCCAGAACTCCTGGTGGACTACCAGGTAACATACACACACCTTGAATCAGCCCACATTCAAACACCCACTGACGTTGTTCTGGACCCAGACTTTCTAAACACCCTTCAGAGAGACTGAACTGTACACATAACAGTGATGTTGATAGGTTTTCAATGTGGTGAGTCCCGAATAAAATTTGTTATTTGATAAATTGTAGCGTTGAACTCGTGTTTTGTGTTATTATGTGGTTTAATTATGCTCATATTCATGTGTTTTGGAAATGAATTACAATATTACAGAACATTTGGACCTGAAAAAAGTAATTGTTAAATGAGCCACATTTTACTTTATTTCCCAGAAAAACAAGCTCATGTACATTCATTATTTCAAAGCCATTTTTTGGCTTAGGATCGTTGTTTTTGAATACTGAGTCAGTTCTACTTAATGACAGTGAAAAGGTCCACATCTTGCACCGTCAAATATTCTCATTGTACAAATTCCCTTATCGATTGTTTTTCTTTGCTTACCTGCCAATGTAAACTCGCCAAGGAGTGTTTATCAGTTACTTCACAAAATCCGTATGAAGCACTCTTCCAATCGGCATAAATTAGATCCGACACCGTGCTTTACATCAGTTCAAGCAAACTTCACAGAGAACAATGAGGGCAAAACATCATCACACATCTATTATAACAAATCTTCTCTTGTCTAGCTCAGCTAAAAACACAAAAGCACAGAATCTGTCAGCATGTTAGCGTGTCGTTCACCACCGAGCCTGCTTGTGAAAAACACAGAGCTAAAAAAAAACAAACTAGACGCAGTAAAGACTCTGAGCTAAAATGTATTGACTGCAATTGGGTAAATAACATAAATAAAATATTTTGTTTCCGCACTGACTTGTTGTTCACAATAAACCTTCATGTGGGAAAAATAGGGAGCGTCGATGGTGAGTTGACTGCGTGCTTTTGGATTTGAATGCATAAGAGACCCAGGACGTGCACCTAGCAACATCACTGCGCACACACACACACACACACACACATTTTTAAAATGTTGCCAGTCACACATTCATGAGAAAATGTTATCACCACACATGGATAAATCTGACGTCTGTTGTTCTCATCATCGGCAGTGCTGTTTGATGATTTTGTGTTTCAGATGTATGATTACAGTCTAGACATGTGGAGCTTGGGCTGTATGCTGGCCAGTATGATTTTTCAGAAAGAGCCCTTCTTCCACGGACAAGACAACTACGACCAGGTACCTCTGACACGCACTGCGCCGCTCCCACACACTAGCACACAACAGTAGCACATTTGTATCAAATGAGACAGACGAGTCAAAGGTCATTGATTAAAGAATCCATGCACACATACTGAAAAACACATGAAAACAATCTAATAGTTTAGCTTACTTTTCTGCACACACACAAGGCTGTTTGTATCTCAGTTAGGCACAGGAAGTCCTAAACATGTAATGGAGACAACCTGTATTTGTACCCTGGACCTTTATCAGATGTAGTACCTCGCTCTCAAGTGTCAACAGTAGCAAAAGGAAGGGGGCGCTGTCGTTCAGCACAAACAGAGCTAGAGCTCTGAGAGTTTCTCACAAGGGGGGAAACAAATGCTGTCTTATCAGGGACAAGTCAAACCAACAAAGAAAGAATAATCTTCTTGAATAGAGTTTTATTTGTGAATAAATGTGTCAACCATAATGTGATAAGATTTGTTCATATTTCAGAGTGGTACACAGCGTTTAAACCTGGTGTGTTGTGTTTTTTTAGTTGGTGCGAATTGCCAAGGTCCTGGGGACAGACGAGCTCTTCGGCTACCTGCGTAAATACCACATTGAACTGGACCCGCGCTTCAAAGACCTGCTAGGACAGTAAGTCCACTCTGACTTTGCCTCTGGGATTCCCATCACACTCCGCTTATTTTTACCTACAGAAGCTGTTTGGGGGCTGAATGCAGTGTAGAAGTCAAATTAGAATACAGGCTAAAAATATCCTGAAGGGCAGCAAAGTGACGTAGTATGAATATCAGAAGAGCCTCTGCCCTGATAAAGTCCTTGAGGAAAATACTGAAACTGCTAATTTGATATTTTACACTTTCAGCATGCATATGCCCTCTTGTGACTCACACGCAACACTTGTGGTAGTAGTCAGGAAATCTTTAAAGGTATTTAAAGGTAAAAGGGTATTGTTTCGACATGGTATATTTATGTAAAAGTGACTGAGGACAACAAGATTTGAATTTGGTTCACCATTGAGTGAGAGCACTGCAGCTGCAAAACAAGCCACATAATCCTTGTGGGCAATTGCGCACTGTGAAGTACGTCCACTAAAGTGCTTGTTTGCCACTGAGTGGCTCAGATTGTTATTATATCTGTATTATAGGTATAAAACATTTGCAGCATCCGTTTTATTTAGTTTCCATTCACATATCATTTTGCTTTTGTTTTCTTTGCCTTTTTTTTAACAAATTGTTATGTTTCTTGGTATCACTGCCAAGTGTCGATGGAATCATCATCTTTTTATCTAAATCCTTGGAAGACACACTGAGGGAGAACCGTAATTTATAATAGTGCCGAGGTACAAACATAAAATAAGAGCAGACACAGTAAAAACATCTGAGAAGCTAGGAGGTAGTAACGAAGAATACTTGGCTAAACAAGGTAAAGGTGCAGGAATTTACAAAGAGGTAATCAATAAAAAGATTAAAAACAAAAACATTTAGAATCATTTAGCAATTAGACCGTCTTAGCGGTATTTATGAGGACTTCTTAAAGCTGCAGTAGGTAAATAGGTATCTAATTTTTTTTTAGAAAAATAACTTGTTATATTTGCTTTGTGTCCTGACAGTAGTACTGTACATGAGACCACTGGCCCATGAACGAAAACAACCAATCAGCATCAAGAAAGACAGTTGATTGCTGAGTCTCATTCTCAGGGCGTCAAATACAGACGCTTTGGTACCCTGGGAATGAGACTCGACAATCAACTGTCTTCAAGATTTCAACCAATGTCTTTCTTGGCTCTGATTGGTTGTTTTTGTTCAGGCCCAGTTGAGTCTTGCAAATACCATTATGAGCACTAGGAGGAACCAGAGGAACCGGATATTTTTCACAGATTATCTGTCTCATGTTCTACTGTCAGGATGTAGTGAAAGTGTCAGCAAATATGACAAAAAGTAATTATATAAAATTTACCGACTGCAGCTTTAAATGTTTTTGAAGCAAATTCCAAGTATGAAGCACACAGAGAAAGCAGATCTTTCCAACTCTGTACGAAGTTTAGCTGAAGGATCATGTTTATGAGCGGGTACAATGGCTAGAGAAAGAAAGCAGCGCTGAGAGAATTTGTAGAATAGCTTTATAAATAAATAAATACAAGTGTTGATCTCTCCTCGTGGACAGAGCTGGCAAGCCAGTTTTTTGAGACTCCCGTGAGACTGCAGAAATGTGAAACATCTTCACCTGACCCATTCACTAAAACCTCGCTCCCTAGCACCGCTACTGGTCAAAAACTCCACAGGGTACCTTTAAGTTCTGTGTCACTGCAGCGGCACTTAAAGCAACGCTGCTGCTTTATTGTTCACAGCCCAGCTGTTGGGATAAATGTATGTCCTATGTTTTTGTCAGCGAAAAGTGACAGAAAATGACTCAAGCGGTTATGTTTGAATTCTTTGTGTGTGAAAATGAATTACCTGCAACCTCTGAGGTTACTGTTCTGTAGCTAACACTGCCCTATGACCTCTCCATTTTATGTGCTAGGCAGATAGAAACACACAATAAATGCTGTGCAGGCATAATGAACAAAATGGGTCACCATCAGTAGACGTCCCCTCAATGGTGTGTGTGTGTGTGTGTGTGTGTGTGTGTGTGTGTGTGTGTGTGTGTGTGTGTGTGTGTGTGTGTGTGTGTGTGTGTGTGTGTGTGTGTGTGTGTGTGTGTGTGTGTGTGTGTGTGTGTGTGTGTGTGTGTGTGTGTGTGTGTGTGTGTGTGTGTGTGTGTGTGTGTGTGTGTGTGTGTGTGTGTGTGTGTGTGTGTGTGTGTGCGTGCGTGCGTGCGTGCGTGCGTGCGTGCGTGCGTGCGTGCGTGCGTGCGTGCGTGCGTGCGTGCGTGCGTGCGTGCGTGCGTGCGTGCGTGCGTGCGTGCGTGCGTGCGTGCGTGCGTGCGTGCGTGCGTGCGTGCGTGCGTGCGTGCTGCGTGCTGCGTGGTGCGTGCGTGTGTAGGCAGAGCAGGAAGCGCTGGGAACAGTTTGTGCAGACAGAGAACCAGCACTTGGTGAGTCCTGAGGCTCTGGATCTGCTGGACAAGCTGCTACGCTATGACCACCAACAGAGACTGACCGCCACAGAGGCCATGGAGCACCCCTACTTCTGTAAGCAAGACACACACAGCTTTCACAGGCAACACACAACAGGAAATGTGCTCAGTATTAAAGCTGAACCTCTGGCTCCTTTGTCCATTTATAGCCTGAGTGTTGTTCTGGCTTTTAAAGTGGTCCTAGTAGCAGTAACTTAAGTGTGAAAATGTGGTTTCTCTCTCCTCCTGCAGACCCAGTAATAAAAGAGCAGTCTCTGTCAAACTCCGACAACAACATGGTTTCCAGTGGCAACACTACGGCGCGGTGAAACGCAGGTAACACTAAACTCACTGGTCACCTTTATTTATTCATTTTTTTACATGTTTTTTTTTATATTCAGACATTTTTAATATTCAGAAGGGACTGAGGAACCCTTTTTTTTTTCTTTTTTTTTTTTACAGATTATTATGTGTCTCTACTGTCAGAATATCGTGAAAGATTCAGCAAATATGAAAAATAAATATTATAAAGGTTACCTACTGCAGCTTTGAAACAACCAAATAACTAATAGAAAAAACTCACTGAATTCAGAAATCATTGGATTTGTCAAAAACTAAGCCTATTAAGAATGTTTGTTTGTTAAAAATATAAGAAATGCATAGTACAGACAGAATTGTATAAAAAGTTTGTAAAAATATCAGGAAACCTCTGGTGCAATATTGATCAAACTGAAACTAGAGGCTGTGGCTCAAAATGAATCTAAATCACTTATTTTACCCAAACCTCCTGCAGTTATTGTGTTTACTATTAGACAGTTTATCGGTTGTTCTGTACTGTTATTGTTATGCATTGAATATAATAGGAAATAAATAAAATATGTAACTTAGTCAGGGGTTGTCAGTTTATGATAGAAAAGGGGTCCCTTAAGGAAAAAGGATGGGAACCACTGTGTCAGAGGACTGCATCATTAATGGGTGACAACATGTTTGCTATCACTATTCATATTGTAGTAAACTGGGAAAATCAAACATAAAATGTGATGATTTGTGTGATCATGTCCCGTCTTTCTTTTCCTCCTTCTCACTCTCTCTGTTATGTTCTCTTTCTCTCTACAGAAGTGAAAGAAGAAGGATGTTTGTTACCTCAACTTTGTACCCGGTTGTGACAGTAACTTTGACAAGTGTACAGTGACAATGGATCAAAGTAACTCTGACCAGTTACACACAGATATGTGCATACGGATACACACACACACACACACACACACACACACACACACACACACACGCTCACACATACACACACATTGATGCAAGCACACCCTCGATACAAACAATACAAACACACATGCAGACATGTATACATACACCCTCCTCCTCTGTATCAGTCTGCGATTGGCTTGTCCTGGTTCCCTGTCCAGCAGCCCGACCAATGAGCTTGAAGCTGCTCCCCCATCGTCCTTTTTCCTCTCAGCTCAGTCTCATGTACTCATGTAGGTCAACAAGGACAAACTACTTTTAAAGACAATTCAGTCCCTCCTCCTCTCTATGTCTCCTTTATGTCATCCCCTTTGTTTGCATCAGCATGGAGAATGAACAGGAGTGTGAGCCTGTACAAGTACAAGTACCAACCCCCCACCCCCCCTCCCACCCCCTCCGACCTGTTCATCCATCCGTCTGTCTGCCCCCCCTTCCTCCCTCCCCATCCTGTTCCCCAACAGACAGACAGACGTCTTAGCACTACTCCAGTTCTGAAAGTGGCATGGTGGACTCTCTCTAGATAGAATGATGATGATAATAATAATAATATTAATGAAAAATAAATGATTTTTATTTAGATGAACTCTGCCTGTGTCAAGAGTGGATTTATTGATCGTTGTTGAGGGTATATGACATCTCTCAGGTTTGAGAAATCGTTTTGAAGGTGATATAAAACATGAGGATTGGTTGAGGAGCACTACACTGCCTGTAAGAATAGTCATAAAATGTACAGATGGGGTTCTAACAAAAACCACTAATTCAACAGTCCTGCAATAAACCTTCATGAAGAGTTTCTGATTCTACTTCATGATCATTTTGGAGGCTGTGGTTTGTGGCGCTGTTGAATTGTATTGCATTATTGTCAGGTGTTTCTGTTATTTTATCCACCCCGTTCATATCATTGAAGGTAGACTAAATAACGCTCTGGCTCCATGTGAATTACTTTTTCATTTTGATGAGATTTCAGCCCTCAGGTATGGAAGCACATTGCTGCCACACCAGAAAACAGATCAATAACACATTATAATGTGAAAAGTTACATTTTTTATATTTTCATGTTATGTGCAACATAGAAATGTAGCATGTTATAACAAACATGATAATATAATAATATATTTTAAATGATTGTTATTTTTAAAAAGAGATTTTTTAAAAGAAAGAAAAAATATATATACATAATTTGGCTGAATTCTTATAAAAGCCAGAAGTGGAACTAAAGCGAAAGAGCCTGCTTTCATTGCTAAGCTGAACCAAATAATCTGACTCACTACAAATAGCCGAGGTCCCCATCCATACTTAAGAGATTTAAAAACGGATGCTTGCATTTTATTTTTTGTTTGAATTGCCATCCTTTTTCAGCATCACCCTCACTCCCACACACACAGATGTGTAATCAGTGAAAACCTTCCACTGACTCTATTTTAAACCCCAACCTGTAACCTCTACTCTGAATCATACATACTGTAGCCCAGAAAACTGGACCAAATGACCTGTCAAAGTACACCTGCACAGAGCCTCTTTAATGAGAGTGTGGACACCAATCAGCTGATGAACTAAGTGTGTAAGTGAGTATTTGAGTATGAAAGCCGAGCTTGAGTTGTGCTACTAGCTCGTAGCCAATTGGATGTATGTCGCTCTCTGTTTTTCAAATACCCAAACTCACTTTACGTACTTACCTACAGCACCAAACAGAGGTCAGATAAAGCCTAGCTGGTTAATGTAGAGGAGAATTTAGCAGCTAAAGTGCCAGATATTTCCTTCAGGAGTAGGTAGAGACCAAAAACCGAGCTAAAAGAGAGTGACTATGGGACTTCGATTTATCAGGTGGACAAAAATGGAACTGGAATTAATGCTACTGTTGCTCCATATCTGCTGGATGTGTAAACAGGCAACTGTTTGCTAACAAGTGCACCATGTGATACTATGTCAAGGTTGTGTTTACAGCTTTTTTCCGCTGCCCCAAAGTGGCCAAAAAATCAGTTAATGCAGTCTTAAACCATATGGCTCTTTAGCAGTTAATGAATTGGTTTTCGAAAGTATGTTCTCCTGCTAGTCACTAACTTTATCTGATTTCTTTGCTGGAAACAACACTGATGAGTGTGGAGTGAATCCAAACAAAGTTGCGTGCCGTAAAACCAGAACAATGAGCTGAAAGATTCTTAAAAACCTCCACAAAGCTAAGAGGAACTGTCGTCATTTGATCCATTGGTAATTTGACAATCTTAACTAAACTTATCCACTATAATCAGGCAGGTTTCATTAAGACACGATTAGCATCTGACAATATACGCCGATTGCATTTTATACAGACATCACTTCACCATGTGCTATTTTATCTTCAGAGGCAGGAAAAGCCTTTAATCGGCTCAAATGGGATTATCTATGGTTAGTTCTGGACCTCTTGGGGTTGGAAGAGAAATTCATTAAAATGATATAAGTTCTTTTTAATAACCCTTCAGATGTAGTAATCACAGGAAACAACACTTCCAGTAAATTCCCCATCTCACCTTCTTGCCACCAAGGCCTCTAAGTCCCCTTTTATTTGTACCATCGCTGGACCCTCTAGCTCAGAAAAACATCCCAGTACCTCCTTTATAACTTTCCACAATACAAGGCACCATATCTCCCTATATTGTGTTGATATATTACTGTATGTGGACAAAGCACCTACCTCCAGTCCTTACACTGGAAGTTTTCGTGACATAAAATGAACTGGTCCAAATCTTCCTCATTACCACTAAATTCCCAATCTAGATCTAATCACAAATAACTATTTGGGTCTTTACAAGCGTATGGTCATGGTCGCCATGTGGATGAGGGAGGGTAGTAAGGTAAATGATGCCAATCTAAACATTGTTTCCCTCGCACAGACTGTGTATGATGAAATTGCAACTGCAGGGTAGCTCTGAGTGATGGTGATGTAAACTGTCTGAACTTGTCAAATAAAAAAAATTATCATAAAAATAGAAAATGTATTAATATTAGACAATGCGTTCACAATGTTATTTTATTGGTTTTAATGGATCAGCTGAAATTAATACATCAGCACCCAGGGGGAACATTTTGCATAGTGATAATACAGAATAGAGTACAGGGCGATCCCAAATTAACCTGTTTCACTGGGATGAACCAGCTGCCTGTGTCTGCAGTGCTGTTGTTAGGTATGACTTGTTTCTCTTGCAAATGATGTGGCTGCCAGTTTGTGGGAAACGCGAACTTTATTTGCATGATTCAAAATAATAGCTCTTTCAAAGAACTGTCATGAAGGCTGTTCAATTCACTTTGTAATAATAATAATAATAATAATAATAATAATAATAATAATAATAATAATAATAATAATATTGCAATAAGGGAACATGACCAGACTCAAGCCAGGGAGGTTGTAGTTCATGGTTGATGTCTTAACATCCAAACTATGAGGCTGACGTGCACAAAATTCACAGTTCACAGTGAACCAGCCTTTGTTTAGAACTAATCAGAATTGTTCACATTATTTACTGACAAACTTTTGCATTACGCAAAGATTTCATAGAGGCTGTGCAGCCTGGGAGGATAGAAGTAACTTGGCCGTGAAACCTTCGAAAAACGGGAAAGCCAGTGTTAGTTTGTCCATTCTGGGCTACTGTAGAAATATGGCATAGGTCAAGGTCATATCCTGATGAAAACATAGATATGAATATTATATTCCATTCTAAATGTTACACACTGGAGCTTTAACATTGCAAAATGGGCATTTTTTAAATTTTCCTAATAAACCTTTTTCACAGCAGCCATTTTGACATGAAATAGTAGGGTAAACACAGGTGCACCATTGATACTAATTAAGGTTCTGTTCCAATCAGGTCAAACAGTGTCAGGGTGCTGCTATTGTGCATGTTGGCACATTGGTAAAGCTCTGCTACACTAAATGGAACAGAATCTTTTATTTGCCCTACTATTCCAAATCAAAATGTCTGCTGTGAAAAAGGTATTTTTACTGTGTCAACACAATCTACCCCTTGTAACCCATGGTTGTGTGTCATCGTGTATTTTGAAGGAGATCAACAAGAGATACACCCACTTTGAACATTTTCTACTGTCTTATTTTAGAGGAGCCTCGGATGACTTTTTGTTATTTCGGGATTTTGAGTTTGCACAATTCAGTTTCATATGGGGGAGTATTTTGAAAATTCTTCCGAGCTGGTGCATTGAGGTTCCTGTGAGAAGGTAGGAAAATGCAATAATCAATCTAAAATAATATGAAGATGATTTTGAAGATGAACCCTGCCAGTGTGACATTAACAGTGCTGAAATTTTGTGTTATGACCTATCAGATTGTTACTGGATGCTAATATTAAAGCACACCAGGAACTCTTTACTCCTAGTAGCACTTTAACATTTCTTTATATTACTGCCAGTTGTTTGTTTATTTTATGTCAAACCTGTATTATGTAGCTTATGATTAATTACAATGTACATAGTTGTCTTTTACAGTCACTGTTATTGTTGTTATTGTGTGTGTGTGTGTGTGTGTGTGTGTGTGTGTGTGTGTGTGTGTGTGTGTGTGTTTTTTTTTTTGGTCTCTAAAGTATCAGCTTCCTCCTTGTATAGAAACCAGAGCTTTGGCTTCCTGTTCTACAACCTGACTCCTCAGTCACGTTCAGGTACACTCTCACACACACATATAGAAAGAGATACATATACCCGGATGCACAGGAACACTGTGTTATCCCTTTAGAGCATCTTGGCCATGAAACATTCAGCAGCAGACTTGTCTGATCAGCAGTGGCCGCTGTCCGGTCATAGGGCCCCCCAGTCTCTGGTCTCTCTGTCCCACACACACACACACACACTCTCTGTTTTCTGTGTGCAAAGGTGCAGGTGAGCTGTAGTTTCCACAGTAGTAGTCAACAGATGAATAATTCTGGTCAGTAAACAAACTGGGAACTTCTGGACATTGTGTTCCCATTTCAATCAGTACTTTTCCATCTGACTACCTTTCCTCCGGTTCACATGATACTCACTCATCTACATGTACAGTATTACAAACAGTGTTTACTAAAATTGTGTTTGCTGCATTTGATTAGAAAAAGTCTGCAAACTGATTATTTAGGGGGCAACATTTCAGTGTGTTTACACACACAGCTAATACACAGAATCTCAAAATAAAAATGAACAAAAAAAAAAAATAAATCTCTTTTCCAACTTTAGATAACATCTGACACACACACACACACACACACACACACACACACACACACACACACACACACACACACACACACACACACACAGCTTCACCGTCACTGCTCCACAGCGAGGCAGGGGCAGATCTGGAGAAATATTTATGGAGTGGTAAGGGGGTGGGATGGAGACTTTAAAGGGTGGCAGAAATATATGCTGATCTAATTGGAAACAATCACATGTATCAATATTTGCTTGAAAAACAATGAAGATATTTGATCTAAAAAAACATGACATTATTGTAGCACATTGGTAAAACATTATAGAAATTTCCAAATGGTCTTGTTTCTCAAGGATCTTCTTGTTTCATTGAACTGAAGCCTGTTTAAAATACAGCCATAACAGATCATTAAATTA